AACTAATAACTAACAAACTTTACTTAAGTTACTTTCCTTAGCCTAAACGAGCTCGCTGGAAGACAGCCCTGCTGTCTAACATCTCTTCCTGTTTACTAAACTGCTCTTCAGCAACTGGAGTCTGCTTTAAGCGCAGCTAGAAGCGACTAAACCGCAGCACAATAGCAGTACTATACAGAGAACACTCTCACTTTAAACAAATTGTACCTAGAACGGCCTCTGGCCAAAGTCTTACATAGTCACTGACTGCAGATAGACTCTAATGGAATAATAATAATAATAATAATAGACAGAAAAAGTTCATCTAAAACTAGGCACTTCCTCATACATTGGGGCAGCGGAGAATATTGAGTATGTCGAGTTTGCCTAGCTCCTACATTCCATGAGCTTAGACCGCCTGGATAGTCGATGGGTCGCCACTAGACGTGTGATATTGCGATTCAGTCATCATTGAGGGATGCCTCCGAATTGCGTTCAATAAACAAGTTTAAATCTTTTCGCTGACAGACCTGGCAAAGGATGCTTCGCATTACGGCTCTTAAGGCTGATTAAATGATTGTAGGCGTGATGTAGGTAGCGATGATATGGTAGCTAGGGCCTACTTAACGAAAGCTTTCCGTTCTAAAAGCGGGGTAGACAGTATGATGCATGCGCAGTTCAGCTGAGTAGCTTATTCATATGATTCGTACGCAGACCATTACCATTCAAACACGAGTTTGGTCAAGTTTATATGTGCTGAAGTGGGCAATACTAATGTGCCTGTCGCCTACAAGCTTCAAATACATGCTGATATGAACGGGCACCAAAGGAAGGGGCAGCTTTAGCTACAGCTTGATGGTCTCATATGTATATATTGATTAGTAGCTGCAATAGCAGCAACAGCAATAGCTATAGTAGTAGGCAGCCGCCACGGTGGTGGTGGGCAGTCTCCGCCGTGGTGGTGGTGGGTGGCTTCTGTAGTAGAGGGTACGAAAGTAGACCAGTGCGTAGATCACGTGATTCTCTTGCGCCAAGAGCCAATCAGATTAGAGCTCAATTCAGCCAATCGTTATCGATTCTTTCGAAACTTTTACACCGTATAGAGAACACGTGATCAAACTCTACCATAATCTGCAGCTAAAGCTGCAATATAGAATAGCGCAGTTGAAGGGACAGGGGGCTTCAAAATGGCAAAGGAGTTCACACCTGAGCCCAGGGTATGCTTGGCGATGACTGTGCCCAAATTTCCTAACCACTTTGTAGTGAACGGACTTCGAGGTATCTAATTCAGTGTAACTGCTTTTGACCATAATACTAACGTTTTCCTGCTTAGGCAATTAGGCTGTTGGAAGCGTGCTTGTCTCGGTCAGTAACTGGAGGTAATCTACTTTGCACAATTGACCAGCCGAAGCATAACATACAAGTGACGTATATTACCAACTGCATTAAGCGGATGCAAGCGGAGGCTATCGAGTCCATGGAAGTCAAGGAAGAGCCAATTACGCAACTCTACGAGCATATGGATGAGTTCCACAAGCGCAGTGTATGGAGCGACAAATGTCAGAGGTAAATACATAGATTTATGAGAAGCAGTAGGTTCCAGTGTAGCATATAACCAAACTAACTGATCCACAGCTGGTACAAGAATGGCACAGCTGACGGTTCGTATCCTAGCTAGAGAGCTTTGGACCAGTTGTAACTAATGAAGTAGGCAAGCCCTGGATCTAGGGAGGCTCGGTAAGCTGCTGTTGTTTTCTAGACCCAGATTTGAGACAAACAGGTGACTGATATATACACACAAGGGTCTCCACTACTTGAAAACTATTCAAACAATTAGGTGGGAGTATTACAACCTCCAATATCGAAACAACAACATGTGGGCATTTCTTGGGAATGGCTACACGGAAGCTCAGGTAAACAGAGATGTTACAAAGTTGACACCCTCTGTACGACTCAAGGACCAGGATCCTTGGTATATTGATTAGTATACAAGTCATGTTAAAGGTGGTTAGGAATAGCTTGGAACAAAATCTCTCTCTAGCCAGTTGTTATGCGAGGGCAGTTACCAGACTCCAATCGGGTTCTGGCAGATTCTCACATTTCTCAGTTTGCATAACCTCCTAATGCATTCTAAAAAGAGATTTCATGTTTCTGGCATACTAGAGCGATATGTGAGGACACGATACAGGCTGGGCCTCTGCTGTGGTCTTGACGATGCCAACTGAGTCGCCAATTCTTTAGTCGGCGACTTGTATGTGTAGACAGGATGTGGGAATCGAGACTAGTTTAATTTATAGTGTGGGAGAAGATATGGAGACAGTGAATACTGTAGGGAGAGGGAGGATAGGAGATGCATAGGAAGTCAGCTGCGGAAAGGGCGTACGCTAGTGGAGAAGAGAGCGGGAGCTAAACAGCTAAACGAGGCCGATGTCACCCTTACACTGCAGGCTACCCGGCTCATCCTTAGTTAGTCCAATATGACTATGGTCCATGCCGTTGGCCAATCACGATGCACCATGCGTAAGTGGCGAGGATACATGAGGAATACGGGTCTTTGGCTTGGCCACGAACAGCTCACAAACGACTGGCGTTTGACGCGCACGCGCAGTTGACGAAAAGCAATGCCGGTACTCTGTGCGTTGTCAAGACAGTAGAGTCCACCTGCCGCTCTCCAGTAGTAGTGCACACGTGGGCAATGCAGATTTCCACCAGGTTGTCGTTATGCCATGCCACTCTTGGGCTAATACCGGCCAGCGATGCCCGGGATAGCCGTCTTGGCACCGTCTTGGCGCTGCATTTGCCGGCCATATTTTCGCCGAACCCAGGCGAGCTGGAGCCTGCATTCGCTGCGTGCTTGTTTGAGCATTTCCAGAACTAATTACTACCCGATACTCCCATGTCTAGGCCATTCCGATGTTAGTGCTCTCCTTAAATTCTAAAATTGGGTTGCGGGACTGCAAATCCGCGCCCTGAACAAGGTGCCGCATGGCTGAGCGTCGAGCTAATCACCAAACATCCATCTGTTCCGCTATTCTGGCTCCACTACTCGTATCAGAACACGATGTTGTAAGCCCTGGTATCGCAATGAGCAACTAACACAGATGCATCCGGTTTATAAAGTCGATGAATGAACCCTTCTGCTGGCCATTGCCTTACCCAAGTCTCTCGTTTTCCCCACCATCATGAAGAGCCATCTCGCAATCAGTCTTGCGCTGCTAGCGCCCGCTTCACAGGCATATGTCTGGCCCAGCCAGTACGACCGCATCGAAGACCTTTTGTATCTGCAATCCGGCTACATCAGAGACGGCTCTCTCTCCGACCGTGCGTGTCTTCATCTCTGCCTTTAGCCGCCCGCAAAAGACTTACATCCATGCAGAAGTTGCGACATGCGCCTTTGGCGCCGGCTCACCTGGCATACAAAAGGCTGCCGAATGGGTACGGACTGCCTTCCACGACACTGTAACGCACGATGCTTCCACCAAGACGGGAGGTCTTGATGCTTCGATCCAGTTCGAGCTTGATCGACCCGAAAACAAAGGCGCTGCCCTGAACAACACATTATCAGACATCTCCTCCTCCGTCGATATTCGCACTTCAGCAGCAGACCTGATAGCCTTATCTCTGGTCATGGCAGTGGCTCGTTGCGGTAATATGCGCGTGCCGCTAAAGCTGGGCCGGAAGGATGCGACCGAGGCTGGCATCAAGGGAGTCCCTGAGGCCCATACGGATCTCGACACCACGCGCAAGAGATTTGCGACTGCTAGCCTCAGCGAGGGTAAACTACTCTTTGATCTTATCTCAAAAGTGAACAAAACTAACTCGTATTCCCAGTCGACATGATTACATTGATTGCTTGTGGTCACAGTATCGGTGGCGTTCACTCGGTCGATCATCCTGAAATTGTCTCTGGCCCAGTCAGCGCGGCGAACAAAGCCAGCTTTGATACCACCTCGGCCGCTCTGGACAACAAGGTAGTTGTAGAGTACCTTGGCAATACTACGGCAAACCCCCTGGTCCGCAACGCCAACGATACACTGAACTCGGACAAGCGCATCTTCGCCTCGGATGACAACAAGACCATGAGAAAGCTTGCCGATACGTCTTACTTCAAGTCCCAGTGTGAAGACGTGCTTGGTCGCATGCTGGATCTCGTTCCTGGCGATGTTACGCTCACGGATCCCTTGCAGCCAGCAGACGTCAGGCCATACATCCTCACATATGGCCTCAATGCCAATGGGGGCGTCGACTTCTCCGGCCGTATTCGTGTTCGCATCACACCAAGCACAGGTCGCGATCCCAACTCGCTCACTGCAGCCATCATCCCCATTACTCGCAATGGCACTGCAGGCCCGGAGATTGATGCTCCCATCTTCACGGCCTACCTCCTAGGGCAATCGGTGGGTTACTTAGATGAGGCCTTCCAATGGTTCGAATTCAGTTACTCCATGAACGCCAGCGAGACATTCGACTCGTTCAAAATCCGCCTTAATGACAAAATCTACGACAACGGTGGCACAGGCACCTATCCTATCAATGGCGATGTCTTGTATCAGCAGAAGCAGTCGTGCATGTCATTCGATTCAGCTACAAACCAAGGTAACCTTACCGTCACTGCGGCCGTCTCCAAAACGCTCCTCCAAAACAAGGCCGCGCCACAAATCCGCCTAGTGAAGCGGACAAAGGTCCAAGGATATCATATCGATCGCTTGGAACAGGTCGTCGTCCCTATGCAGCCTGCAAATAAGGAGACGGCGCAATATGCATACTACACTGCCTCTGCACCTATTAATTTAGAAAGTCTGTCTACTACCTTTGATATTGAAGTCGGAGATTCAAAGGTAGAGTACATTACCGCACCCGATATTGGCACTTGTGCGCCACTATAGTAGATGTTAGTTTTAATTCAAGATTTCCACATGGGTCACACCCAGAGCAATTGCTTGCATATGTCAGACCATTCAGGTGAAAAGCTTCAGTGAAGATAATAAGAAAGCCGAATGTCAACCCCAAGAGATGATTTTCGCCCGTGGTGCAACGGTAACTGGCTCACTACCGAATCAACGCGCAGCGTCTGAGTACACGTCGACTTAATTCGCATGTCGACCAGGGTTATTATGAATACTGAATTTGTACAGAGTGAGATGAAAATAGAGGCATCAAGAGCTTAGCAATGCTTGAAGCCAGACTAAAAATATATATAGAGCTAAGATCACGGGCAATCGACGCTCATAAGTCTAGTCAATCATTTCACAATAGCAAAAATAATCTTGTATTTCTAATATGGTCCACATGCTTTTGAAATGCCCAAGTTGCTCCTTTGATAGCCCTACTCTGCCTTTCCTTGCCTATGTACCTCAGCCAAGAATCTCGACTTTGCCACAGCCTTTGCAGCGAGTTGGGTAATGGGTTGACCGTTGGTTATGTCAAAAACTGAAATATCAGCACCAATCTCCTTGGTCATCCACAAGCGCAGCTCCACAGCGACCAGCGAGTCGACTCCGTATGCATCCAAAGACCTGTTGGGGTCAAGGTCCGCCATGTCGTAACTGAAAGTCTTTGTCAGCTGCTTCAACAAAGCATCGAGGACTGCCTGCTCAGCTTCCTCGAGCGAAGTTGCTGCTTCAATCAGGTCAGCAGTCGACCGCGTAGATGAGCCTTGTTTGCCAGAAGAGCCATTGCCACCCTCGGCACCGTTTCGAAGGACCATGTGGTTGTACAGTGGTTCGTGCTGCCAGGCTGGCTGCTCTGCGCCTTCGGTCGCCGAGTACCTGGGAAGCCAGAATCTTGGAATCGCCTGGGATTCTTGAGTACTCAATTTGAGGCCTGGGTGGCAGTAGTAGTCCAGTGCGCGGAGAAGTTCTTCCGCAGACATGAAAGCCAGACCGGTCGAAAGTAGGTACTTTCTAAGCGCTGGTCTCTCAGCAACCATGCCGGCATCATCCAGGACTGGTGCCATGATCGAGACAACGTTGTGTCCCTCAGCAGACAGGCGCCTGGCCATGGCGTTCTGGTATGAGTTGCCTGCATTATAGTTGGTCTGACCACTCAAACCAATAATCGCCACAAGAGAAGAAAGCATGATGAAGAAGTCGAGAGTCGTGCTCTTTGCCGTGAGAATCTCCCACAGATTGTGACTTCCTTTGACTTTGACGTCTACGGCTTGGTGCCACTGTTTGGCAGACATTTTGTCGAAAGAGTTGTCCTGTAAGTCAGGATATGTTAGTAAAGGCTTCTTTTTGCTTTGTGGGAGACAAGAAAGGGAACTTACAGCAAAGACGGCAGATGTCTGGATGCATCCACGGACTGGTGGCATGCACAAAAGTGCTTCAGAGACGGCCTTCTCTAGCGCCTCCTTGTTTGTGATGTCACAGCAGGGAGTAGCAATCTGAACGCCCTCACTTTGCAGCCCAGCCACTAGTTTCTTACTCGCTTCATCGGACGGACCTCTCCTTGAGGGTACAATCAGGTTTCTAGCACCCGCTTGCACGAGCCAACGGATAATTTCCAAACCTAATCCTCCAAAGCCACCAGCTACAACGTACGTAGAATCTAGAGATAACTCGGCAGCAAGCCTGGGAGGCTGAACGACTTGAATGATATCCTCGTCGTGATATTCAACCACGAGTTTTCCAATATGCTTGGCCGACTGCATCAAGCGCATCGCCTCTTCAATCTGAGAGACGGTGAAATTCTTGATGGGTGTTTTGATGTCAAGCTTCCGGTCGAGAACGCTCTCTACCATGCCCGCCCAGAGGTAGTCAAGTCGCTCTGGATCCGTCTTCCACATGTAAACCAGTTCGAGAGCTTCAAATCTCACACCTCGGCCAAAGGGAGCCATGGAGAGGCGAGCCCTTGACTCAATGTCGGTGACGCCAATCTCCGCAAAAGCTCCGAATGGTGCAATGAGGTCCCAGGTAGCACGAAGCGCCTCTCCAGTAAGACTGTTGATGACAATGTCAACTCCGCGGTTGCCAGTCATTCTCAACACACCCTCTTTGAAAGTCAAGTCGCGACTCGAAAAGATGTGGTCTCGTGGCAGGCCGTATGTCTTCTCAAGAAAGTCGCGCTTCTCGAGGCTTCCGACTGTCACAAAGATCTCCGCGCCCTCACGCTGTGCCAGTTGAATGGCAGCCTGACCAACACCACCAGCCGCTGCATGGATCAACACAGAAGTCTTCTTTCCACGGCTAACACGCTTTGCAAGGTCACCAATCTCAAACAGACAGGCCCATGCCGTCACGTACACAATCGGGATGATTGCAGCCTGCGCAAACGATAGGTTCTCTGGCACCATGGCAAGATTGTTTTCCCAACCCCGTGCGTACGTAGAGAACGAGCCGAGTCCAGTAAATCCGAACACCCGATCTCCAGATTTGAAGCGGGTGACTCCTGACCCAACTCGAGTGACAATTCCGGCCGCTTCCATGCCCATGGCTGACTCTGGAATCATGCCAAGCTGTATGGCCAGATCCTTAAAGTTCAGACCAGTGGCCATGACTTTGAACTCGACCTGAGGTTCTTCCAGCAGAGCTGCATACAGCTGATCACTGGTGAAGCACAGCGAATTCAGCAAACCAATCTGCTGGATCTGGAGGCGCAAGGCCCGGCTGGGGTCCGCCCCAAAAGCAACCTTTCATAGGCTGTTGTCAGAAGTCTGGTTCACGTGCTTCTTCAATGCAGGATCTTCGACGAGTCGCGGAATTGCAATTGAGCCGTCGATGAACTTGTACGAGGTTTCGTAGGGACCCTTGGTGTGCGAAGACATGCGCACATCCACCTCCAAGATTTTGCTTGACATGTTTTCATCACCTTCGCTGGGTTGGAAGGTGAGAGTGACGAATTCGAGTTTTGGATAGTCAAGGCGAATACTTGCTGCGAAACCGGTCACCAGATCCGTGTCAGCAGACTCTTGATGCACCCACAGCAGCCGCTTTCCGCCGACCATTGTCTTCAACGCTGACATGACGCCTTCGTCAGCTGTGGCGAGCACGGGTGCTTCGAGTTCTGAAATCATGATGCATGTGCTCTCAGAGACTGCTTCTTGACCGACCGCAGTTGCCAATTGCACATAGTCGGATACGGTAGCGCTCTTAGCCATGGCACCATTCGCCTGCAACGATGACACCAGCTTATCAGCCAGGCTGCGCTGCGTGTCTGAAGCAAGGTCGGCTACAATGTAGTAGACTCCAGTGCTTGAGGCAGTCTCGTTTTTGCTCTTGGATGGAACACTGGCAACCAAGATCGAAGATTTCTTGTCGCCAAACAAAGCATCTGGCTCGGTGAACCTGTTCTGAACCAGGTACTTGGCCCAACTCTTTGCCACCGCCTTGCCGAATGGCACTGTGAGAATGATTTTGCCACCAGGCTTCAGGAGACTGGAGAATCGGCGCAGAACTTCATCAATCTGTGCATTGGGAATGGCGCCGACTGGCGCAATGAGTACATCGTACGAGTTTGTTTGGAAACCCTGGTCAATCGGTTCAGCCTTGATGTCGAGGACCTTGGACTGCACAAAGCCTGCTGTGATGTTCTTTTGTACCTGGCCAAGGCAAGATTCGGAATTGTCTGTCAAGTCGTACTCAACATAGCGCTCAGACAGCGTGGTCAGGACCTGGTTGGTGAAGGAGTGTTCGCCGTTGCTTATGTCGAGGAACTTCATGTGGGGATTCTTGTGAGCCAGCAAATCAAGGTATTCCTGGAATTCCTGGGTCATGGTTGAAGCGCTGAGGAAATCTGGGTCTGGCTTCCATGTGATGTGCCATGCTTTGTATCTTGGGTCCACGTCGGAGTCTGAGAGACCATCTCGACCATCGACTTCGGTAGCCTTGCAGCCAGTTGCTCGTATCATAGGCTCGTTGGTCTGAGTATCGACAGCAGTGCAGGATAGAATATAGTCCTTGCGGCCACGAGTGTGATAGTCGGCGAAGATTTCATAGCCCTCTTCGGGGTGTGTAGATGCCGAGATCCAAAGCTCTTCCAAGAATGAGAGAACGATGGGGTTGTTTTGCTTCCTGGTTGGGTTGGAAACAAGGGGCACCAGACACGCCTGCAATGCGCCATCCAACGTTGTGGGGTGGATCAAATGGGGCTGCAGGTAATTGAGGGGCATCATTTCTCTCAAAAGTGGCACGGTAGGCTTGAGTGAAGCCAGTGTCGTCCCAGATTCGAGGTCCACAGCGGCATTTGCTATGGTTTGGAAAGTTGGGCCGAACACGAGGCCGACGTCCTTCCAGCCCTGATAGATTTGTTCCGAGGGAACCTCGCTCTTGCATTTTTGGTGCGCATCTTGAAGTCGGGCCTGGGCATAATCTTTCAGGGCTTGTTCCTCTCGACCGCCATCAACAGGAGTCGTTGCATCGTCGTACTCTAGGAGCACCTGACCGCAGCAGTGCTCTCGGAACTCGTCGTCTTCCTGGGCTGTGAGGATCTGGAATTCGCGCCAAGCAGATGTCTTTGCCTCCCGGCCTGCCTGCTTCACGGGCCGCAGATAAACGTGCGACTCGATACCTGTAGCGTTGTCCGGGATCTGCATTGCGGAATGAAAGGAGACTTCGCGGAAACGGATGGCTTTAATGGCTTTGTCGGGGTTCGAGAGCTCTCCCAGTTGCTTGCAAGCCTCAATAGCCATGACAAGCATACCAGCAGCGGGATACAAGACTGACCCTGAGACGGTGTGATGCTCCACCCATGGGTTCTCGGAGAGACGGATCCAGTTGCGCCAAATGGCATCATGATTTGCATCCCAATCATTGACGGGAGCACCAAGCAGCTCATGGCGCGGAGCAGTGCGGAAGCGATAGTTTCTGCTCATTCGACTCTCGCTCCAGTACTCGCGAGAGTGATTGAACTGGTATCGAGGAAGGTCAATCATCATGGCTGGGTTTGCTCCATCAACGTGGTTGACCTTGAGCAAATCAGCCTCTATCCCGCGAGTAAACAAGGACCCAACAGCCTGCATAATCGTCTCCACATCTGACTCTCCTCGTTTGAGCGCAGAGTGGTATTTTATGCCGCTACCGCCCCTGCCTACCGCGTCAATGATGTTGCGCAGCGGGCCCTGCAGGGCGGAATGGGGTCCAATCTCAATGACATCTGTGACGAGGCTGGATGATCCTCCCTTCAACATGGATGGGGCTTTGAGCATTGCTGTCAGTGATTCGTTGAACCTCACAGTGGAGACTAGGTTCTTGGTCCAGTATGCGGGCTCTTGCAGTTTGGAGTGGCCAATGTTCGTCCCGTATGTTGAAGAGAAGAATTGCACATCAGCTTGTTGGCCATCCGATGGACGTGGTACAATCTTGCCCATGCCTTCTGTGTACTGCTTGACAATGGGCTCCATGTACCTTGAGTGGTACGCTAGTTCGACGTTCAATTTACGCGCAAAGATGTTTTCGTTGCTGAGCATCTGGATCAGGGCAGCAATCTGTTCGGCATCTCCACTGACAGTGTGACTAGTCTCGCTGTTTATGCAGGCGACAGTGAGCTTGCCCACACTCTGGAATCCAGACTCATTGACCTTGTCAATGTACTCCAAAGTCTTTTCAGAGTTTAGACCAACGGCAGCCATGGTGACCTTGAGCTGTTCGGGTGAGCGGGCTAGTTCGGCAGAGAGCTTGCCTGCACATGGTTAGCTATGCATGTTCAACTGGCTTTACTGCTGATCCAGGGTACTTACCACGCCAGTATGCAATCCTCCACGCACTTTCTTGGTCAATAGCACCAGCCGAGTAGGCAGCTGCTATTTCACCCGAAGAATGCCCTGCAGTAGCTTGAGGCTTGACTCCCCAATCAGCGAACAGGTCGACGAGAGCAACCTGCAGTGCTGTGCACAGCGTCTGTGAAAACTCGGCATCATTGATGCGAGATTCACCCTGATGCTTTGAAAGTTCTTCCATCACAGACCATTCGCATCCTATGGTTTTTAGGTATGCATCTGCGCGTTCGAGGCTTTGTCGGTAGGGCGGATAATGCATCAAATCTGCTCCCATTCTAGCCCACTGCGCTCCCTGGCCAGTCAAAACAAACCCGAGACCGGGTTCATTAACAGCACGTGATGCTGGCTGGCCTTCAGAAAGCAAGTCTTCCAGTGACTGTGCTGAGCTGGCGACAACCGCAGTCCGCCAGGCAAATCTCGACCTCTTGTTCGCCAATGTGTAGCTCAAGTTGTAAAGAGGCTCAGTCATGGTTGACAGATACTCTTCGTATGCCTTACAGAGTCTGGAAATACCGTCTTGGTCAAAGGCACTCATGACAAAGAGCTGCGGAGAGTGGGCAGTGCCATTGATTACCGGAAGTGGCTTTTCTACACAACCTCACATTAGCACATTCGTGTCTCGAACACAGATAGTAGCAGGGATTCAGGCTTACCAGCTGCACCGGGAAGCCGAGGCACGGCGACTGTTCGGTGGGGCGCATCATAGCCGTGTGCCTCGAGGAAGTGAAGTGCATCCTCTAGGACCACGTGGGCGTTGGTACCCGAAATTCCGAAAGAATTAATGGAGACTCGACGAACACCCGAGGGAGTCTTGGGATGTACCAGCGCAGTAGTTGGGAAATGTAGGTGCCAATCCTTTGGAATTGCAGGGTTGACGTGCTTAAAGTGTGCATTTGCTGGGATAATACCACTTTCCAAGGAGAGGACGGCTTTGATGAAGGATGCAATTCCAGAGTTGCCTTCAGTATGTCCAATGTTACTTTTGAGGGCTCCGATAACAAGAGGATCTTGTTCTGATCGATACTAGCTAAACATGTCACTGATGGCACCAGCCTCGGTGGGATCGCCCACGTTGGTACCAGTTCCATGGGCTTCAAAATATCGCGTCTCCGCAGGATCAATTTGGGCTTGGGTATAGCAGTGACGCATCAACTCGGTCTGGGAGGCTCTCACGGGTGCTGTCAGTGGAGCACCCTTTCCGTCGTGGCTGATTCCACTGTTGCGAATGACGGCACGAATGGCTGTACAGATTAGAAATTAGCATCGCCATTTTGGCCACTCATGGAGAATGAACACTCACTATCTCCATCGCGGATTGCATCCGACATGCGTTTGAGGACAACCACTGAGATGCCTTCACCTCGTCCGTACCCATTTGCATCTTTGTCGAAGCTCTTTGAGGCACCTGCCGGGGACAGAACACCAAGACCGTTCAACTTGATGGCAAACTCGGGCGAGAGAATGACATTGGTACCACATGCAAGTGCCTACCGGTATATGTGTCAGAGAGAGAATGTAGGAAGGTGACAGGACTGAGAACATACCACGTTGCAGTCACGTGACTTTAGACCGACGACCGCCTGGTGCAGCGCCACCATACTACTTGAGCAAGCAGTGTCGACAGTAAATGCCGGCCCTCGGAGGTCGTAGAACCACGATACACGGCCGGCGAGTGTACTGGGAACTGTTCCAGTCCCAGAGTATGTCAAAGGGACATCCATGTCCTTGATCGTAATGTCACTGTAATCAAACGTGAACGATCCTGTATACATACCCGTATTTGAGCCTTGCATGTCTCCCATGGTATAACCTGCATTCTCCATGGCCGTGTAGGCACACTCGAGAAGCAGTCGCTGTTGCGGATCTAAGGCTGCGGCCTCGGCAGGCGTCATACCAAAGAAGGGCGCATCAAAAGCTTTTATGTTGCCTTTCATAAAGTGCCCTTCTTTGCTAGCAATCTGGATTTTTTGTCAGTAAATGTGATCTGTAGTCATTGGGGCTCTGTAGTTTCTTACAATTCCATCCCGGTGGTGGTCGGGATGCCAAAAAGAATCTACATTGTACCGATCTTCCGGGACAGGTTGTCTGGCAGATCTTCCGGCAACGAGGAACTCAAAGAACTTTTCCACACTATCGCCATCGCATGGCAACTTGGCATCCAGGCCAATGACTGCAATAGGCTCTGCCATAGTCAGGGAAGATAAAGATTGGTTTGAAGTGCGTTGTCCTGCAGCAACACTGGGGCTGACTAATGAAAGCCGTTTAGTTTGAAATGATGAAACGAGAAATGGGTAATGGCTTTGATGAGTTTGCTGTGGACTCAGGGCCACTCCATGTTATATATACTTCAAGTTGACAAAGCAAGGCATGCTCTGCTTCTCTCAGTAGGGCCATAGAAGCCATCAAAGGCGCGCAAGATCATGTGTCTTCTGATCAACAATGCAGGGTACCAAGGGCTTCGTATTCGTCTGTTTCTCCACCTGATGCAAGTTTTTCAGACCCTTGTTTTCCCATGGTACGATTAGGAATGTGGTTCTTGTACCAAAACAGACTTATTGCCATGTAGCTGATTAAGCGAGATATCCATGTCTACAACCAAGTGGGTATCTGATATTTCCAGTCTTGAAATCCTTCTCTGATGTCTTGATTTCATGTCTCCAATACTCATCAGCATAGCACAAATCCGTAGTCACCTTGGAGCAGCCAATCTTGGAAAGGATAACAGATATGACAAGGAGATGCCCAGGTGTCGGAATACTCAGCCAGAAGCTAGCTGTATAAAATACGACTCTATCCACTTCGTAATGCAGGGGTTTTGTAACATCCACTTAGGAAAAGCATTCCCTTGCGTGTGGGGCATCTAGGCTTCGCTTGCGCAGTAACGTGAGGCGCTCAGTCTGTGCACTGTGATGCATTTACACGACTTGCTCCAGGGCGTCAAGCGTATCACAGATGCAATTTAGCGTAGCAATGGGGCGTTTGGATAAATGCACTTTGCAAAGCCTGGATTCATTTTGAGTGGGACCCAATACGCGTTCCTTCTCGTGTACCAATCGATTGCATCCGAGAATACCATAGAGATTTGACCGAGTGGTCTATACGCAGTCTCTGCGGGTCAGCCCAAAGATACGAGACGTGGCATTACTGGGATGGGTTGGGAGACAAGACGACGCTTTGTTCACCACTCCACAAAGGTCCGATAGACGACGAGTGAACTTCAATTCGCAAAATCCGTAGTGAAGACCACCCATTTCTGGGCACGTTTCTGTACCCACCATGGCTTCGCAATCGCCGCTCAAGATCATTCTTGGAACCCATATGGTGGGCAATCCTATACCAATCTCCCATGTGCATTCTTTTGACATGAACACAGATTGGAGACACAAACAAAGACCCTGGAACCGTTCGGTTTGATAAGAAAGAGGACGTCCAAGCTCTTTTGGATGCATTCCATGGCCGTGGATACAGTCATCTTGACACGGCCCGTGATTATTCTCCGGGAGATCAGGGAGCCTCAGAATCACGTCTTGGCCGAGCCAGTGCAGTCTCCAGATTTACTGTGCACACAAAAGTTCACAGCACGAGTCCTGGAGATCATGAGCCTGCGAAGCTGGCGCTCAGCATCAGCCAGTCGCTTCGTGATCTTCAGGCACCTAGTGTGGAGACGATGTTTCTGCATTTTCCAGATCGCCAGACTCCGTTTGAGGATACCGCAAAGGCAATGAACGATGCCCTTGTGCAGGGAAAGTTTCGAGGTTTTGGGTTATCCAACTATTCAGCCGCCGAAGTGTACAGGTTTCTCGAAATCTGTGAGGAGCACGGCTACGCCAAACCCAGCGTGTATGAGGGGCATTACAACGCCATTGCAAGAGGATGCGAAAAGGAGCTATTCCCGCTGTTGCGCAAACATGGCATGTCGTTTTATTGCTATAGGTATGTTGGTGGCAGTCGTCACAGCAAGCCCAGTCTGATGCAGTACCAGTCCCGCCGCCGGCGGTCTATTCTCGGAACACTCTGAAACCTCGGGACGCTGGCAGAAAGATGTAAGTAAGCCCCAGCAAGCCTCGACCCAGCCAGGTCTAACGATGCAGAATTTTATCGGAAAGCCCTACAATATCATGTATGGGAAACCGCCAGTACACGCCGCAGTAGCCATGATCCTCGAGCTCGCCGAGGAACACGGCATGAACGGGCATGCGGCCGCAATACGATGGACGGCTTTTCACAGCAACCTGGATGGAAAGTATGGCGACGGCATCATTTTTGGCGTTTCGAGTGTGGGTCAGCTGAATAAGACCCTTGACGCGCTCGAGGCGGGTCCTCTTCCTGCCGAGCTTGCAGATGCTATTAGCGAGGTGTATGAGGTAGTCGAGGGAGCCGAACCGCCCTACCATCTATAGGCTCGGTGGTATGCACGCTGCGTATCCACTGGTGTATTCTGAATCATGTAGAATGGCAGCTCGTTGGCTCTTGTTCCTTTTCGACCGAAACAGTCGTATCGTCTTGCCTGGACAATGCAGAATAAGTCAACTGTATGTGTGGACTGGAGGTGTTGATGTACGGGAGACGTAGTCCTTGGCCCATTCTCTCGGAGGGTTGCCTAGGAATAGGGAAATATACGCGCCGTCCTCGTACCGCTTATCGTTTCCGTGGGGTAGCAGAGTAGGGCAGAGATGGCGGTGTGTCTTGCACAGCGGTACACGCGGCGCGCTCCGCTCCACAGCCGCAAGCTAGAATCATGTATTCGGACCTAAACGACGGGTTTTCGATCGATAAGGGTATGAGTAAGCCCGCGGAAGTCGTTGGTGGAAGCGAGGCCGGCTGATTGGCTCACAACGGCTGCCAAGGCTGCATGTCATCACACATCCGTCTTAGTGGGAAGCTTGGACTCGCAAACTTGACGTCGTATTCTCGCTAGTCTAGCATCTTATACATCACCCAGTCCCTCTATTGTATGGTATTCCTGCGGGTGCTCCGTTTCAAACGACCGGATGAGGCGCACATACTGCTCGCTTCTGGGCTTGATGTCAAATGGAAAGTCGTGCACCCGCATGATCAGCCCAGGACTGCCCACTCTCTGCGGCTCAATCTCTTTGCCAGCCTTGTCAACAGCCTTTCCAAGGTCAAACGCCGCCAGTACACGAGCAACAGTAATGAAAAGAGTTTGGTCGGCCACATATCGACCGGGGCAAGTCCTACGCCCGAATCCAAAGTTTGCGTCAGTGGGGTCCGGCTCGTTGCGAGGCTCCAGAAACCGGTCAGGGTCAAAAGAAGAGGGGTCTGAATAGACCTTGGGGTCATGCAAGAGCCACCAGACCGACCCGATAATGTACGCTCCTTTTGGAATCCGATAACCTTTGTAGCTCGTCTCTTCGTCAACCTTGTGCGGCACCGCTAGTGGTGCAACAGGATGCCACCGAAAGACTTCGTTGACTACAGCGTTGACGTACGGCAGCCGATCTCGGTCTTCAAACTGAGGCAGTCTTTCGCTACCAATGACAGTATCGATTTCCTTTTGCGCCTTTTTCTGGACGTCTGGGAATAGTATCATGGCGAGAATGAATGCATGAATCGAGGCAACAGTGGTATCGGATCCGCCGCCATACATGACAGCGGCAGTCTTCTTGATGACGTCTTCTTTGGTTGCGTCCAATGCCACTGCTTCACCATCGCCTTCCTTGTCTTGCTCGATGAGCGACGAGACGTATGACGGAATGTGGGTTCCCTTGGCCATTTCCTGTCTAACAAAATTGTAGGGCACGTTGAGCGTCTTGTACACTAGCTGGCCCCATTCCCGGGCCGTCTTCTTGAAGGACGTGCCTGGAAGCCCTTCGGGTATATGCTTGAGGAACGGAAGAGCATTGACCGGCCAAGCCAGAAGGTCAGATGCGAGGCCAAATGCGTCCATTGTTTCCTCAATCAAAGAGACCAGTGGGTCAGAGCCTTGTGGGGCTATAGCATAGCCATATGTGATGCGCAGAATGACGGCGCTCGCCTCACTGCAAAGACAAAACTACTCAGCACGCGTATCAGGCACAAAGATTGGCTGGACTTACGACTTAACATGCTCCAGCAAATTGGCAGGGTCATCCAGCGCTTTCAAAAGGAACCGGTGCGACTCTATGGATTCAGCGTCCTTGAAACGCTCTGCTACCGTCTTGGTACCAAAACGCTTGGAGATCATCTGGCGGTGTAGGCGGTATGTGGAATTGTATGGCAGAAGGTTTAGCAGCGCTCCAAACCCGCACATGTCGGCAAATGCAAACGAAGGTCGAGACGAGGTGATCTTTGCCGATCGCACCAAGAGATCGCGAATTGCGTCACGGTCGTGAAGAAGAATGATTGGCTGGCCAAGCAACGTTACGGAGCTCACAGGGCCGTAAAGGTCCTTGAACTTGAGCCAATGCTGATACTCGGGTGCATCGCTTGGAGGTAGATCTTTCAAATTGCCAATAATGGGCAGTGGTTTGGGGCCAGGTTGGAGACTTGCGTGGTTTCCCCACAGCTTTTTCCAAAGTTGAAATCCCAAAAGAAGCCCCAGCAAGACAACAAGAAGGGAAAGCATCTTGATGTCTGTAGCTCAAGGCTCGGAGTACCTGTTGTTGTTTTTTTTTGAACCAGTCTTGGAAATTGGGGGCAGAATATCAAAGTCGGACGTGGTCCGGTAGGGTGAAGAATTGTGCAACAGGCACCCAACACAAACACGGTTTAAGTACCATATCTGTAACTTGATACAAACTAGCTCAAGTGGGACGTGTTGGCTTCTGCATATCTCCGGCCAAATTATGTCTGCACGGCGAAACACTCGGTCTACAATACGAGCGCAAGGACCGCAGTTTTCTTACAACACTGTCACGCGTGTGTGCCCAATACGTGGCAGTACCCAAAGTGTTTTTTATTCTTCTCTGGGTATTCCGTTTGCAAACGCTCTCTAGTGTAAGATTGATATTTTACACGTGCTTAAGTAAGAAAAGGGGGTTGGTCAAAATCTATCTTGGCAGCATCCGAGGTCCTCTTATCCGACACCAGGTATTCTATCCACAAATGAATATTTTTGGAGATGCCATTTGTTGTTCACTCGAGGTTAGCAGGTGTCTTGTCGCAATATTCTCGGCAGCATCCGAACAGTGTCGTTTTTCCCCACTGTTTATTCTCGCCACAAAAGCTTATCCCTAGATACTGCATACTCCTACAATCAAGAGAAACAAAATATTGTCCAAATACGCATTCTTAGCATGAAGCAAGTTTCTGCTATGCGATAGCAGCTTTTTTGTCCACAGACCCTCTACTCTTCAAAAAAAAAAAGTCAAATCTTGGACGCTATGATGAAAAGAGGATTTTTCTAAATATTTATCGGCGTCACTCGATTATTCCGCAGTTCGTGCTCGATGAATACATGCGTTTTGTTCTAGAGATATCATGTTTTATACACTTCGGTCGATAAACGATCAAGCAAGACCCAGGCGCTTGTCTCAATCGACATCTGCTACGCCCCATAAGTGGATCTTATTCCGCACCAGGTATCATACTCGCAATCGCTCTCTATTCTCAAGAGGCCATATCTTCTATTCTATTCTTACATAGGCTATCGGATATCTGTGAACCTGGCGGGTGATAGGAGTCTGTTCAACTTTGTCGATATTTTTTGTTCAGAAGTGACACCCAATTTCGATTCGCGTGAAAACATAGAATCATAGGCCGTCGGAAGAGGGTATTCCTATCGGATAATACATGGGAAAGTGGGCAGTGCCCACCACGTATCCGGCTCGCAAGTGATGATCTACTACCAAACAAGAATCGGAGACTCTCTGAATATGGATAGGCAACACGATTATACAGCTTTCCAAATGTCTTTCCATGAATTCCCATCGTTGTTCATGTACGTAGAAAAGATGTACCACAGCATGAGTTGATCATTTTAGGGATACAGGCAGGTATAACGGGCTCCTATCACTCCACATATCTACAAGGAGGTTAAACAGCTTCAAGTACGCCAATCCTCTACTCGGCACCCAATGAGTAGACCCGCATGGTATTCCTGAATGCCCCCCCCCCTTTTTTTTGTCCACTGCGGAGAATTTCTTGATCCATCAGATGGAAAGCCCAGATAACTGCTCGGATGTTTTTTCAAGTGGGCAAACCCATTGCGCAGCGCTGTACACGTGGACCCCTTGGCACTCCTGAAGGATTCCTATGGGTCTACCATAGGGAAGTCCTTGATTCATCAAGTGAGGATCAAGATAGCGGATCAGGCACGCGGGAGAAAAGTCTTCACTTGAGGCTTCAAAGTGGACAGAACATGTCTTGATAGCAGTGGATAAACAGGATATAGTTGGTTCAGACTGAATACATATGTACATATATTTGACCTTGTCCATGGGTGGTTGTCTCTTCAGAATACCACACATCAGAGCCCAGCCATCATGTCAGTGCGACAAAGTTTCCAACTCCGCCCCTCGGGATGGGAACACGATCCTGCAGAGGAACGATTCAAACTCTCCACCATTGATTACACGCTCAACTGCGCCTATAACCATTACGCCGTCTTCTTCCGCATGAAGGATGCAAGGAAGATTCAGGCTGTCGATTTTCTCAGAGCCGGGCTCGAAAGAACACTCAGCCAGGCACGGCACATGTGCGGTACCATTGAGGCAGACCCCGAAGGCGGGTTTTCCTTTGTCAAGAAAAGGGATTCAGCCGTGCAATTTGTTGTTCATTGCCTGCATCCCCTTGGTGGACATCCATCTCTCGATGACATTGAGAAAGCCCACTTTTCCGGCCGCAGTGGGCTGCGCGATATCAACTTGTGGGGTGGGTGAACCCAATTCACATTCAAGTATTTCTGATTTACTAACGTCCTGCGTGTATAGGCATACCGGAATTGACTTGGGGCGAACGACCAGAGGCCGAGCCGGACCGCAGCCCAGTGGTATCAGGATACCAAGTCACTTCGACCAAAGGCGGCCTGGTCCTGAGCATGCATCACCACCATTATTCCTGCGACGTCATGGGATGGAATGCCTTTACGCGCCAGCTATCTGCAAACTGCTATGCCGTTGCCAAGTCGACTAGCTTTCCTCCATGGGATGCTGCATGCCTCGATGTCTCGCGCTTTACCAAAGACGTACCACAGAACAGCCTCGTCGAAGGACCTCCTGTAGCGCAGAAACACCCCGGTCACGTGGAGCAGCAGGCTGTGCTGTTTCATTTGCCCAAGAGCAAAGCCGCCGCGCTCAAGGAGCTGGCAAAGCCGGCAGACTCTGCGTCGCCTTGGATATCCACATATGACGCCGTCTGCGCCTACATCTGGCGGATGCTGTCGCGTGTGCGGGCTCCCCACTACAAGACGGATCCCTCGACGGTTCTCTGGATGGGCGAAGCTGTCAACATGCGGCCTCGTCTCAGCAACCCGCTTCCGGAGCGCACAGTCCGCAATGTCATTGCCGGCGCATTCTCGGATATGGCCCCTGTCGCGCCCCTCACGGCTGGAGAGGTCATGTCGGAGGCACCGCTCTCCACGCTAGCCGTTTATATCCGGCGGTTGACGGAGAGTTGCAATGAAGGGCATTTCCTTGGCCTCCTTGATGCGATAGCGGCCATCAGGAACAAGCGAGCGTTGGCCCTCTGTCTCGACGCCCGTCCGCCCATGAGTATGTTTGTGACCGATCACCGCTCGGCCGACATCAGTGACTTTGACTTTGGCTTCGCAAAGCCCATTGCATACCGGCATTTTTGGGGAGACACAAAGTCGCCAGGCGTCATTGTCATCTATGCCCCCGTGCGGTCGAGCGCAAACGCGGATGAGGGCTGGATGTTTACACTGACAATGGAAAAGGAGCTGGTGCCCAGGTTGAGGGAGACTGCAGAGTGGGCCAAGTACTTTGAATACCGGGGAATTGATTAGCTAGTCATGTAAGTACACTAGATCAAAGCTTTTCTGCAAATTTCGCAGCGCCTTCGGCTGTAAAGCCGTCTGGCCATTTGCCCGTCATGCCAAAGATACCAGTCGCTTTACTTCCAATGGCCTTTTCCATGGCGTGCTTGGCTACTTTGGTCTCGAGCTCCCTCATGGGCATCTCTCCGCTCAGGACACGCGGTAGATGCAGCGCTGACACGGCAGCAATGTCACAGCTTGCTCCCAGATGCGGCCGGATCTGGGTGAAAGCCTCGCCGACCAGCAGCAACTTACCGTTGAAAAAGGAAGCCCTCGTGTTGTCGAATGCGCGGACAGCCGTGAGCAGCGGTGGGCGGGATTGCTGGAATATCCTCTGCCACAACGGGGACAGTGCCGATTGCCGACGCTTGATCTGCGCATCCCAGACTTCTTGGCGAAGCAGGTCCGATGGCACGGTTGAGTTGTGGCAGACGCCATTCACGTCCGTCATGTACTCGGCAAAGGTAGGAGTGGCCGCATCGCAGGCATCATACCAGCACCACTCGACCACACGCTCACCCGGCCTCATGCTGCCATGGTCGTCTGGCGAGAGATAGCTGTAAAGCGTTAGCGCGCGACTAGTGACCGGAACTCGAACCTACACCACAATATAGCTACCGCCCAGCATGCACTGGGGCATCTTGCCTTGAACAGTGCATTTCAGCTCTTGTGGCGCATCGTCTTCGGGGAGATAGGACCTCCATGCAAGATAACCCATGTACTCGGTCTTGAGCTCAGGAAGCACAATGCTTCGGATTTTGGATCGCGCGCCGTCTGCACCGACGACCAGGTCAGCCGTCAGCTCGTGCTCGGATCCGGCCTTGTCCCTGTATGTTACGACCATGTGGCTGCCACAGTCTGCCAGACCGGTGAAGCTGCATCCTGACCGGATGGCCACGGGCCCATGGGTGTCGACGTGTCTTTCACAGGCCATTCTCAACAAGCCGTGGATTCCCGCCCAGCAGGACGTACGCACGTCGTACTGGAATGGCACATCGACCAGCACGTTTCCGTCTTTGTCCATTATAGGAAACGAAGGGTTGCGTATGAGAAGGCCGTCCAGATCCACGTCTGGTATGTACGTCTGCAGCAGCTGCTGGGCGTTGGGCCACAGACTCAGACCAGCAGCGCGAGCCTGCAGTTGCTGCTCGGAACGCATCTCCAGCACAATGACACTGTGGCCATGCGATTTCAGGGCTAGTGTATGCATGAGGCCGGCGATGGAGCCGCCAATCTGTAGGGTACGTGTGATTAGCTGCATGTTGCACGTGGTTGTAGTGGTAATAGTAGTAATAGTAGCAGTAGGGCCATACCACGACGACGCGCTTCTCCCTTGTTTCGGCCATGTCTCCTGGGGACGTTAGTGAGCGTGGATGAAGAGGCATAATGGGTGCTTGGTGGCTCAGTTCGTCTTACCATCTTTATCTCTGGGCTGTTGACATGGATCGTGTTGTGCATCCATGTCTAGCGTGGGGGAAAAGAAATCATCGGGGTGACCCGCCTACCATGGAGCGGCGTTTGTTGGTCCTGGAACAATCATCTTGAGACCTGGCTAGCACCGTTGGAGCGTGACGACTCGCGACGCTGGCCGGTGCATCGGGAATGTTGCCCGACGACGAGCAGCGTGTACCTAGGCGTAAGCTGACATGCGAAACAGGCGCAATGGCTGTGGGCGATGGTCGTGGGTATGGCCGACGGATGGATGGATGGCGGGTGGTGAATGGATGGATGAATGAATGGAGCAATGGGCAGTCGAGTCTAGAGGCCTAGCTGGCGGGAGGGACCGTTCTGTGCGACGCCACTAACGACGCCAACTTGGTTAGCCACGCGGGCACCATGACTACTGGCACGCGGCGCCACGCTCATGCCGCATCTCGACCGAGCTGAACATGGCAGGCCTGGTTCGCACACGTCGTGCACCCGTCGCGGCAGATGCAGCTAGCAATGGGGAAATTTCGCCAAGCGGCTGGCTAGAGAGAGAACGGTACTTGGGCACTGCAGCGCCCACAGCCAGACGCCAGCCAGACGCCAGCCAGACATTAGTCAATCCGCACGTTTCCAGTAGTCGAAAGCGAGGCACGAGTGCCTATCTTGTTAGTCTATACGGATGAGGTAACAAAAGGCTAACCAGAGCACTGTTCCCGGATATGCGACTCCACTCCGCGGCGAGTAGATGCACAGCTCAGCTTGACTTTGCCAGTCTATCTATTACCACGACATTCGGGCGTCTTGTATGGACCACGGGCTGATTGGCGAATAAGCCATGGCTTAAGCCCGCTTGTATGGCTCGTTTTCCATCCAAGCTGTGCGCGATAAACTCCTACCACGCCACCTGTAGTCGTAAGATTTGCCTTTTCCACGGCTAAATATGGTATCCTGGTACTATAGGCGTTGGCTGTGTCTTGCTGCGATCTTCAATGACGCTGAAGCACCAGTCTATGGGAAAAAAGAAATTCAGATCTTCCAAATTCTTTACACAATAGCCCCACCCGGGGTGTAATGGAAAAAAGAAACAGGACACATCTGCTTGAATGCAGCTTTGCGTCTGCATATCCTCTTAGACTTGGCGGCTCAATCATCAAACGGCAAAAATAAAAGAATTGGACGCTGTGGGAATTGAACCCACGACCTTTCACAAGTACGCATTGAAATATGCGAAGCGAAAATCATACCCCTAGACTGTATCATTGTTAGGACGGACCGTTTCCATGGTGGAATCAAAGGGAAAATGCTTACCCAAGCGCCCGTGAGATGCGATGGTAATTTTTGAAAAAGTACGTTATATCAAGTGGGCTCAAAGTTAGATAGGCAGCGACAATGTAGACGACGTCGATGAGTACGCGCAGGTTTGTGGTGTAGCTGCTTGAGCAAAAAGTGATCCGCATGGCGGGGTAGCTGGACTAAAAGCGAGTCGGTTCGTGAGGTCATGGTTATATTATCGATAACCATTGACAACATGTGAATCGTAGTCACCAGCAAAACAACATCTCGAGATTGAACGACATGCTAGAGGCTGCCAAGAGCACCGGAGTGCATCAACTGGAATTTAGTGGCATAATTCCAAGCAAGAAGTAACTCGAGTCGTTCAAGGAATCGTTCATTCATCTAATGGAGACGACGTGCCCCATAAGCTAGATAGGTCTATCGCCCAGTCATTATATCCACGGACAACTAACTATCCACTTTTGTCTCCACAAACTTAAACCTTCTTGCTGGTAGTCTCCTCGCTGTGCTGCTTGAGCGGGTGCTCAGGGTTGGAGCTGAGACTGTTCTTGGTGTTGTCGCTGGCTTGTTCGGCGCCCTCTTGAGGTCCTGCGCCCTGCTTGTTGACATTGTCCGAAATCTGACCGGCTTGGGCGCCAGACTGGCGCTCGGGGTCGGGAGACTGACGGCCGGGGTTGGGAGCAGACATTTTGGAGTGTTGGATGGAGATTAAGCTGTTGATGTTAGTGCTGGTGCCATGAGCGAAAGCGATATGATGCAGATGATGTAAACAATGGCCATGCAATTCCGTCTTTCCCATACACATCAGGAGCCAATAGGACGGCACTTGTGACTTGGGTTGGAATCTCCCAGATCCTGCATCGCATAGAGCAGACTCGAGTTGCAATGGAACGCGCCATAAGGAGCGCATGTGGGAACAGGTGCGATGAGGACATACATTTACGTTGGAATGACAAGTTCTGGATCGATTAGCTTGATGCCGTCGAGCAGACACAAACATACTTACTTGGATCGTCAAGGTCTCGGGTTGTTGAAGGTGGTGGTGTAGTTGTGCCGTCCCCCAAGCAAAGCGGCCCCTCTGCCTTTTCATGGGCGAAGCTGCCCCACTGCGCCTGACGTCACTGTGAGATGGGGCAACATCGACGTCAACCTCCTCAAAGCCCTGTTCACATGCACATGCATGGCGCGTTATTGTGGGCCAGTCGTGGGTGCTTAGCAAGCGCGCGATGTGCTTGCTAACGGCTTTGCGCCATCATGCACACCTACCCGGTGGTTCTTATCCCTCAACACATGCGACACCATGACCCTCATCGCGTTGCCGGATCATTGGCAGAAATCAGAGAATGACATTCTTGGTATCGAGGCTATGTGGTCCGCTTGCCCATCTCAATATCATCAGCCCCGTCTCCATCATCGTCCCATTCGCTTCCCTTGATTCGCTTGCCCAGCCACAGCCCTAGAACGGTCGCTGCACTCGCGGCCAGAAACCAGGCCTCGAACCATCTCTCGGTGAATCCTGGTTCAAGCGGTGCGCCCAGGGCGTCTCCTATCTTGCTCTTCATCTCGGGCGGCAAGTTACTGCGAAGCAGCAGCGCCGAACTGATGACATAGGTTGCTGCAATCTGGGAGATAATGAGGGCAAAGTTTGTCTTTGCGTGATGCAAAAGACTAGGGACCACTCTCGCAAAGAGGAGAAACGTTTGGAGGACGCTGTTGAATGACAATAGGAGCATTACGCCAGAGAGCAAAAAGGAAATGGTGCGGCTCCAGGCCACTCGATCAATCGTTGGATCCCAGTGTTTTGCCAGCAGGGCGAGGAAGTTGTTGATTGGATCGCTGTTGGAGAAGCTCGTGTTGGGGGAAGAGAAGCGGCGCAGAGTAGTGACGGTTGTGGCGCCAATGCGATAGGCACAGTAGATTGCAAAAACATAGGAAAATACGCCTAGCAGCCGCCCGTGTGCCGTGTGTGCACGCAACTGCGACTGGCGTCGGTTCTGGAGAATGGTTAGCGAGTTTTGGAGTGATTGACGCATCGTTTCGAGGCCCTGGATTTCCAGCTGCAGCGTGTTCCGCTCCTGCACGTCTGGGTTTCCTCGAAGCGTCCCTACTACGCGGCCTACGAAGCCCTGCTGCGGGTTGTCGGACAGCTTGCGCTCGACTACGCGCAGCCGGCTTTCTTTGGTGAGGAGCATGTCGTTGGTCGCCTGGATACCAGCTTGCTTACGCGCAATGTCCGAATCGGTGACCTGTCATTGTCAGCATTCACGAACATGACGCGCTGGGTTGGGCCGATGCTGACAGGGCGGTACTTGACCCCAAACGTTTGCCAGAGTGCGGAGATGGCAGCAAAGCCGGCCAAGGAAGCCATCAGGCTAATGCCGATGATGCCTATGCGCTCGAGACATCCCTGGCTGATTGTGTGATTATGCTCGTATGATGCTTCGTGTAGATACGAGCCTAGCAACCCGCGTCCCAGATACCAGAAGCCGACGAGCCACACGGCGAGGCCAAGCAGCTCCAGAGCCCATGCTGCCCTGCGTCGGGTCCTGTGCTCTCCGCCAAACTTCAAGCCCGTTCCTGATATGACCGAGTGTATCTCCAAGGCCGGTGTAGCGACGACAAGGAGGAAGAGCAGCGACGGTAGCGTGATCTTCAGCGCCAGGGTGCGTGTGGCACGGTTGACGGTGTTTGAGATTTCGCACAGAATCAGTTCCACGAGCACAGCCGAGAGGGCAAAGTTTGTGGAGAAGACGACGCTCGCAGCGGAGACGGCGCTGGGGCGCAGGCTGCTCAGCGTAGGTGGGCGCTCGCGGTGTGCCTTGCCCGACAGGATGGGAAACAGCTTGTACGAGACGACAAAGGCGACGACGAGAAAGGTGAGGATAAAGGGCAGCGCGGACATGGCCAGCGCCATGGGGCTCCGGTGGAGGGCATAGTCGGGTGTGCACTCGTCGCAGGCGTCAGCAGCAGACGGGAACATTGCCTCGGCGGGGGCGGGGCGCGGGGGCGGGCGGTGGTGTGGATGTGTGCGTGCTACTGCCAGGTGGCGCTGGATGTCGAGGATGCGCGGGCGGCCATGGACTGCGAGGCACAATCTGGATACGTTGTGAGATGGGTGGGCTTACGAGGCACAGGCACAGGTTACATACGCAGCAGCTGAGGCGCGGCGGCCAGGAACGCGCCTGCCTGCGGTGGCGCTCCAGCCACACATCCAACGTCATCACGCCGATCCGACAGGGATGCGGTGCCGCAACCCGCATCCCCACATGATGCGCGGGAACGTCCAAAGAGAGCATTACAGTAGCATTGGCACACCAGACCACGGCCTGCTTTGAGCCTGCACACAACCAAGGGTATTATTGGCAAAACTATGTTTGTTGCGCACCTTTGCTCGCCGCTGCCGCCGCTGCATCCCTTGCGGCGTCCTGTGTGGCGTCCTGTGTGGCATCCTTTGAGACATCCTTTGCGGCATCCGCCTGCGCTGCCTCCTGCGCCGCTGCATCTGCGCCACGGCTTTCTGTGCTGCTTGACACGCCCGCCTGCTCGTCTTCGTCGTCGCTGCTCGACTGGCTGCTGAGCTCGGGGCTGTCGAGGTTCTGCAGATGCGGGCTCTTCATCATGGGCCCCGGACTCCGTGGGTCGTCGCCAACCATTGTGCTGCTATCTCCCGTCTCCAGCTCGTCGCCACTGCTGTCCTGAGCACGCTCGACCTGGGCCAAGGGATGTATCGTTTCCACAGCAGGCTTGGGCGCGGCGATTGCTCTGGCCACTGCCGCCGCCTCGTCTTCGTTGGCAAAGAAGCGGTTGCGGGGGCTGTCGTAGTCTGGCAGCCGTTCGCTCTTGGCAAGAAGCTCGCGGTAGCCCTGCCGGTCCGGGTCGTTTGTGCGCTTGCTCTTGGCCTTGTCGCGCTTGGATGTGGGACGGACGACAATGACGGGAACGGGCGAGTGCTGCAGACAGTACTTGGACACACTGCCCGGCAGCAGCCCCTGGAATCCCCCCAGGCTTTTGCCTCTTGTGCCCACTACCAGGATGGCAGGCTCGTAGAGGTTGATCTGCACCACAGTTAGCCGTGGCCTGGCGCGTGTGCCATGTGCTACGCACCATGTCGTCAATAACCTTGTTGACCTTGCCAATCGAGAATTCCAGTATCAGGTTGATGGCCTTGTTGTCGTGGTTCCGGCTCTGTATGTCGGACATTGCGTTCTCGGCCTCGACGCGATAGCGCCCGCTTTCAACGCTGCGGTCGCCGGCGATGGCATCTTCTTTTTCCACCACCCGCAGACAGACAATCTCGTCGCCGTCGTCGACCAGCTCGTTGATGAGCCACTGCAGGGCATAGACCGAGTACTCGTTCTCGTCGAAGCCGCATAGGAACGTCCGCGAGCGCTTCGTGTACTCGTAGTCTTTGTGCTTGGCGATGAGGGTGAAGGAGCTCTCCTCTATGAAGTCGGCGGGCTTGTCGAACGTGTCAAAGGATACGCGGTTCTGGAAGACGCTGGGTTGGCTTGTTAGCTTTGCATCGCCGGTGCCGAGCGCGGAGGGCTAAGCTAAGCCGAGGCTGCCCACAGAGCCTGCAGGCATACTTGGCCCCTGCCTGCCGGCTGCCTTGGGCAGAAGCCTCAAGCACATGGAGCAGAGGGCGGAGCACAGTTGCGCGGCATGCGTGTCTGGGGCAGTGACTTACGGTGGCGGCGGCGGTGACGACAGGCGGCGGCGCTCGCGGGGGCGCGGCGTGCCTCTGGGCAGCGAGGCGTTCCTGTGTGCCAGAAACTGTATCGTCGACGGTCGCCGTGTTTCCTCGAGCGCCGGTCGTGCGTCGTTTGGCAGGGGCAGCAGCGGGCTGGTCGCATTGGCGGCGGGCGACTTTGGGGGCGCGGGAGACGCTGGGGGCGCGGGCGACGCATCCATGGCCGGCGAGGATGCGCTCATGGTGGGCTGGAGGGGCAGAGAAGCAGAAGCACCTCTTGTAGGCCGCCCGACAGCACGAAACCCCCCGGGCAGTGCGCGCGTGCACTGGCGATGGGATCTGCCGTGCGTTGAACTCGTGCTCGCGCCCTTGGCGCGGGGAACGGCAGCCTCTCGCGGGGTACTCGGTGGCCAGCTGTGCCTGGCGACGGCGACGGCGACGGCGATGGCGTCGACAGCCGTGGCAGAGGCGGCTGCACGTGTCGCGTGGGCGAGGAATAAGGGCGTGTCGAGTGTCGAGATGGGCGGCGGCGATGCGCTGCCTGTCGAGAGCGATGCCAGGCGCTTGGCGGGCTTGCTGAGGTGTCGCGCACATAAGTACATGTAATAATGCCTCCGAATGCCCTGCCTACTTACTCCTTCCGGACACCTACATGCACATGCACATGCATACGCACACGCACACGCACACGCACATGCAAACTACATGACAGCACACGCTTGCAAACACGTTCGCGAATGGATACCATGATTCCCGTCAGGCACAAGTCTACATGTACTCGTCTATCGTCAAAACACGCCCGCATAGTCTAGTCCCGCACTCGGCCTGCTCACGACAGCGCCCGCAGCTCGCCCGGTGCGAGCTTGCCCGCGCCAATGAGCCGCTGCGCCTCTTCCTGGAAAATGTCCTTGATCTTGCCAGCGTCCTTGACGTTGTTGAGCTTGCCCGTCAACGCCGCCAGCTCCTCGTGGTCCTGCTTGGTGATGATCAGGTCCACGTCGGCCAGGGCCGCATCCACCTGAGCTGCCGGCGCCTCGCCGCCGCTGTGGAAGTAGTTGGCATCCTTGGCAGCCCCACGCACAACACGCTTGTTCTTCTTTGCTGCGTTCTTTGCTGCCTCCTTGGCCTTTTTCGAGTCGGCTTTGGCCGCCTTCTCCGCCGCCTCCTTTTCAGCCGCCGCCTTGGCCTCCTCTGCCTTTCGCTTCTCGGCCTCTTCCGCCTCTCGCTTGAGGGCAGCCTCCTTTTCGAGCCGGCGCTTGTTCTTCTGCGCGTGCTCGGCCTGGCGGAACTTTTTGATACGCTCGTCGAGAGCGAGACAGTCGTCCACCAGGTGCCGAAGACGGGCAGTGTCCTCCGTCTTCTTCTTGCGGCGGGCAGCCTGGTTCTTGCGCTCCACGTGACGCTTCTGGTCGCGGTTCTCATTGTCGTCTGGCACGTCCTCGTCGAGGTACTCAAACGTCCTCCAGCTGTCAAAGTTGTACCAGAAGTTGTAAAAGTGCTCCACCTCCTCCTTGGTGCTGTTTTCGTTGCCGAGCTTGGGCACCGGCTGCAGGTTGGAGAAGCGGCCCTCGGCCTCGAAAACCTTGCCCCAGAGCTTGTAAAAGTTGCCCTTTTGCGACTCCTTCTTGCTCGGGGGCTCCACTTCGGCACCCTCGTCGACAGAGTCGAATTGCCTTCGCTTGACAGGGTCCGACAGCACTTCGTGGGCCTTTTGGATGCACTTGAAGAACTGGTCGTCCTCGGTGCCGCCCTTGGCCGCCTTTTTGTCGGGGTGATGCTTGAGCACCTTCCTGCGGTGCGCGCGCTTGATCTGGTCGTCGGTGGCGCGCCATCGGTAGCGGGTTATGCCGAGCACAGCGTAGTGGTCTTGGGACTGTCGTGGGTCAGTACATGCAGTTTGGACATGAGAATTGGTCTTCGTACCTTCCAGTCCTTGGCCTCGCGCTGCAGCATCAGCGGGTCCTCGGGCTCGTCAACGTCATCGGGATCCTCCTCCTCGACGCTCTTGACGTTTGCCTGGGCCTGGATGCGGTCGTCCTCGGAAAAGGTGCGCTTGTGACGCTTCTGTAGGTAATGGTCAGCGCCAATGCCGTTGCTCGACTGCATTCAACCTACTCTGCGGGCATAGGCCAAAAAGTGTGGGCCAACAGGCTCAATGTTGCGGTCGTTGGCCTCGCTCAGCTGGCCGATGGCCTTGAAGTCCTTCTCGGCCGCCCAGCCCTCGGGCAGGACGGGCAGCGGGAGTGCAATCTCGACGTTTGCCATTGCACAGGATTGTCGTCGTGGTGGTGGCAGGTGGGGGGGGAAGAGAAAATGTTCGGATTCCGACCTCCATGTGGCGCTAAGTTTGCCGAAGGCTGATCCTAGCGTATCGCATCCATCCTAGCCCCAATCGACCCCAGAACGTGTTCAATAGCGTCCGCCCTCCCCCATGCTCCGGCATCCGACCATCAATTGGCAAGATTGCAAAAACGTCTTTGCTCCCTACATGTCTTGCTATTTTTCCTTTTCCTAACACGACCGCATCATGTTTCAGGTATCTGCACGCTCCCATCGCTCCCGCCTCTTCAGCTGACTGGGCAAACACAGCGCATTCGGGGGGCCATAGACGCGAGGATCGCCGAAGAACAGGCCCGCCAGAAAGCTACCCAGCAGGCTACCCCCTCGCGATCCAACTCTACAGCGCGGCGCTCGACTTCGGGAAATCTCTCGCCCTCGAGACGCACGGCAAGATCAAAGGATGGCGACAGCAGCAAGGCTGCGCCTGCTGGCAAGGGCCCCGATCCCTCGGAATTCGACCCAGACTTTGTCATAGGCGAGGACGACGACCAGCCCAGTCGAGCAGGCACGCCGCGGCCAAAGGAGAAGTCGCCAGCGACGGATGCGGCGACAGAGAATGGCGACGACAAGAAGGAGGAAACGCAGGCCGCAGAGGGTGAGGCCGAGGACAAGGCAGAGCAGCCACCGGAAATTCCGCCAGAAGTACGACTACGGCTTCGCAGGCTGGAGAAGCTGGAACCCAAGTACACAGGTAGGCGGTGCCTTGATCTAGACAGCGTATGTGCAACTAACCAGGCTGCAGAGTTGCTTCGGTCGTACCGCATCGCACACGCCCGAGTCGGCGCAATTGAGGCATTTGAGAGCTCCCTTCGCGAATACACGCCCCTCACTTCGATCAGCGACACGGGTGCATTTGTCGAGTATCTGGGGCAGCTGAACGTCAAGAGCGACATGCTCATGGAAGAGCTCAAACGCGTGTCCAAGGAGCGGGATGAGCTGAACAAGAAGCTCGAGGACGCCGAGAAACGCGCAAAGGAGGCGTCAGAAGAGGCGGACAAAGTCAAGGCGCAACCACCGACGAGCAGCGAGGCGGCGCAGGACGATTCCTCGACACAGACGGATTCTGCCGCGCCCTCGTCGCCGTCGAAAGCATCCAAGACAACCGAGACGACCGAGGGCACGGAAGATTTTTTCTCGTATGATAGCGAACTGCCTCGTGTGCAATCGCAGCTGCAGGAAACCGAGGCAAAGGTTGCGAAGCTCGAAGAGGAGAACAAGTCACTCAAAGATGAATTGTCCACAGCACAAGAATCGGCACGGTCATTTATGCAGAATCTGGAAACAACGACAAACGATCTCAACACGTTCAAGGATACTCACCAACGCCTGCAGCGCGATGCTGAGGGCCGTGAAAAGGAGCTCAACAGTAGGATTGACGAGCTCAAATCCAAGGTCAGCAGCGCAGAGGAAGAAGTGCAGAAGCACAAGCAGACGCACGAGCAGAGTGAAAAGACCATGGGCGAGCTCAAGGAGCGGCTTGATTCTGCCGCCAAGGAGCTGGAAGAGCTGCATGCCGAGAAGGGGGAGAAGATTTTGGAAGATGACCAGATTCAGTCGCTGCAACGCCGCATCGACGAGTTGGAGAGCGAACTCTCGCAGCTGCGCGACAAGCATGCAAAGAGCGAGAAGCGGAGCGAGACTATGAGTGGCTTACTCGACAAGGTCCGCGAACAGCTGAAGACGGCCGAATCTAAACGCGACGCTGTTTTGGTTGAACTGGAACAAGCCAAGAAGGATGTGCAAAGTAAAAAGCCCGAAAAGGTGAGCATCCAGCCACCGTCGCCCAAGGCAGAATCGGCCAAATCGCCGCAGGCAGCTCCGCCTCCAAGCCCGCTGAGTGCGTCGGCCAAGAAGCGGAACCGCAACAAGAACAAGAAGGGAGGGAAGGGGGCCGATGGCACAGGAGCCGTGACTCCTGAAGCCACTCCAAGCGAAGCAGGAGACGCCGATGGGCTCCTCAGTCCTCGGGATGCCGAATTCTCGCCATCTCAGCTGGAAGAGGCGCTCAAGAACGTGGCGCAGCTCAAGTCGGACCTGGAGGAGAAGAGCGCAGCCATGGAGCAGCTGCAACGCGAAGTGGAGGCAAAAGCGTCTACCATGGACTTGCTCAAGAAAAAGGCCAAGGACCAAGAGGACATGCAAGAAGAAATCGACACTCTACGTCAGGACCTGCTCGATTACGGTCTGGAGCACACAGAGGCCAAGGGCAAGGTCAAGGAACTGCAGACAGAGAAGACGGCATTGCAAGAGAAGCTGGGCAAGCTGGAGGCTGAGATTGGCGAACTCAAGGCGGGCAAGGCAGCGCACGAGTCGTCACGGCAGGAGAGGGAGGCACTTGGCGCAGAGTTTGCCGAACTCAAGTCCAAGGCTGAAACGCTGCAGACGGATCTGTCTGTTGCTGAGAAGCTTGCGGCGTCTCGCTTCAAGGACTTGACCGAGTTGCGGGAGGTGCTGCAAAAGGCGCAGCCTGAGCTAACAAGTCTGCGCAAAGAAGTTGGTGAGCTTCGAGCGGCAAAGGAGGAGCTGGCAGCGAAGACGAGCGAAGTGCGCAAACTCGAAGGCCGCGAAAAGGACCTCGGGGCCGAAATCAGCGAGTATCGGTCGCAGCTCTCGAGCAAGGAGAATGACATCAAGGCACTCAACGACAAGATGAAGCAAGAAACTAGGCAGAGACTGGCGCTGGAAGAGACAACCAAGAAGATTCAGCGGGATCTCCAAAACTCGGAGACGGAGCGCAAGGACGTGATTGAGGGGCGGGACAAGCTGGCAAAGGACGTGGCAAAGGCGCAAGAGGAGCTTAAGAGCAGCCGCAGCAAGGTGCACGATCTGGAAGAGGAGGTGGCGAAGCTTAAGCGCGAGGTGTCTGAGCTCCGCGACGACGTGGAGCTCAAGCAGGCGCAGTACGCGAGCGCACAGGATCTGATGAACAGCATGCAGGATCAGACACAGGAAATCAGCACGCAGATGAAGGAGGTGCGGGCCAAGAGCGAGAGCTTGGAAGAGGAGCTGGCAGACGCACACCGGCTGCTAGGGGAGCGGGGGCGCGAGGCCGAGACGATGCGGAGGCTGCTCAACGACGCTCAGGGGCGGGCGGACACGCGGGTGCGGGAGATGCAGGAGCGGCTGGACCTTGCGATTGAGGAGCGCGAGCGGGCCGAAGAGCAGGCGAGCACGTTTGGGCGGCGGCGGGCGCGGGAGCTGGAGGAGCTCAAGCAAAAGGTGCGCGATGCAGAGCGGGCGCAGGCACGGGCGGTCGAGGACAAGGAGGATCTAGTGGCGTCGGAGCAGGAGGTGCGGCGGCAGATGTCGGAGGTGGAGAGGCGGGCGGCGCAGGCGAGCGAGGAGGCGGCCGAGGCGCGGGCGGCCATGAGCCAGCTGCGCGACGCGCTCGACGAGAGCGAGAAGCAGGCGCACGAGCTGGAAAAGGAAAAGGGCGAGCTGCGGCGGGCGTTTGACGAGACGCAGAGCCGGCTGGAGAAGCTGCACAAGTCGAGCAAGGTACGTGGGCGGTTGTGGGTGGTGGTGGTTGTGGTGGTGCGGGACTAACGCAGTGGTGAGCAGGCCATGTCGGACGAGCTGCGCGCGGTCAAGGCACGCGTGCCCGACTCTACTGGGCAGTCGTCTCGGTCCTCGATTGAGTCGTCGCGGTCGCGGCTGGCGTCGCCGACGCCCAAGCCAGGGGGGAGCGGGGCGGGCGAGGCGATTGACTATGTGTACCTGAAGAACGTGCTGCTGCAGTTTCTGGAGCAGCGCGACAAGAAGTACCAGCAGCAGCTGATCCCGGTGCTGGGCATGCTGCTGCACTTTGACAAGCAGGACGAGCAGAAGTGGATGGCGGCGGTGTCGGCCAAGTAATGCAGTTGGTGTGGTGGGGGTATTTTGTTATTTTGCATAGCGATGGATGGGCTGGTGAATGGATGGGTGGATGGGTGGATGGATGGATGGATGGATGGGTGCATGTATTATAAAGTAGTATAGCTGGGCTGGCCGTGGGGGGGTGGGGTGGGGCAGCCTCGCAGTCGCCTGGCGGGCGTTTGTTCTTGGCGGTGAATGAATATGCATGTGCATGTGCAAGCGACGAGTGGGAGTGGGAGCGGGAGTGTGAGCGTGGGCGGCGCGTGTCGAGAGCTGGTTGATGGATGACCATGTCCATGTCCATGTCCATGCCCATGCCCATGCCCATGCAGACAGGCACATGGGCCGTGGTCGCGGGCGTGGTCATGGTCGTGGTCGCAGGCGTGGTCGTGGGCTGGTGCGCCATTTCCAGGCTGGCTGGCTGGCTGGCTGGCAGCAGGCTGGCACTGGCACTGGCACTGGCCTGATGTCATAATTCGTCTCGCCTGCTTCTTTTACCGCTCCGTCCGGCCTGCCTGCACACGCAACGCATGCGCGCACTCCTCTCGTCTCCCATCCTGCTCCCATCCTCGACCTCTCCATCGCACGCCCGTGACACGCAGCAGCCCGCAAAGCACGACGGCGCCCAGGCGACAGGAGCACAAATCGCGCGTCGCATCTGATCTCCGCAAGCGGCCAACCCGGCATCGACTCGAGTGCGCTTGCCCCCCCCCCACCACCACCACCACCAAGCCCCGCCAATCAGAAGCCCGTACATGGCCAGGCGGGCGAGGGGAGCGCTAAGCCCGTTGTCCAGCAATTGAAGAAATCGCAGGCACCGCGAGTGCGACAACAACAGCCACATCGCGCCCAGCCTCAGAAGCCTCCCGTCCTGACCGACCTCTCGACCTCTCGCGCCCTCAGCTGTCGCCCCCCCCCCCCGAGCGTGTCCATGAGCGCTGCCCAACGCGTCCGCAGCGCCTAACCCGCACATCGCCCATCGTCGCCCAGCGTCCAGCGTCCAGCGCCCATCGCCCATCGCCCATCGCCCATCGCCCATCGCCCCCCCCCTCCCTCCCCCTCCATCATCCCTCCCTCTCCCATCCCTCCCCTCCCCCCGACGTCAGCAGAGCACGCCCGCCCACAAGCAGCCCCAGCGCGCGGCGGGGACAGCAGAAAGCAGGCACCATGAATGGCACCGACATGAAGAAGGCGGCCATCAACAAGGCCAAGCAGGTTGCGCAGGCCGCAAACTCCAACGGCGGCAAGAAGCGGCGCAAGGGCCAGGACCTGAAGCCCATCATCACGTCCGAGGGCCAGGCCGGCGCCCCGAATGCCTCGTCGCCCTCTGGCTCGACGGGGTCCTTTCACTACAAGTACGTTCATTGTTCATTGCCCACTGCCCACTGCCCACTCCCTCCGCCACTGCCACTGCTACTGCCACTGCCAGTCCAAGCAGCGCCCCAGCCCAACCCCCATCACGTCACCCTGCCCCGTCCTGTCCTGTCCTGCCCTGCCCGCCCTGCCCGCCCTGCCCTGCCCGCTGCCCTGCCCGCCAGCCCCAACGCCCACGCCCACGCCAACCGCCTCCGCCCCCCCCCCCCCGCTGCACGCACTTATTTTCCTGCGCGCGCGCCACTCGCTCTGCGCCGCTCCAAAACACTCGATACACAACACCCGCACCCGCCCCATGCCCCATGTCCCGTGCTACAACGCCCGCCGTGCCGCATCCCCAAGCTGACCGCAACCCCGCAGTGTGCAGAGCACCACGTCGCCCCTCACCCAGCACAAGATGTACCCCAACCAATTGAGCCACTCGCCCGACTCGTCGTCGTCGTCGGTCGACGAGGCGGAGAACACGGCCGACGAAGAGGACTCCGAGGACTACTGCAAGGGCGGCTACCACCCCGTCCAGGTCGGCGAGGAGTACAAGGACGGCAAGTACACGATTGTGCGCAAGCTCGGCTGGGGGCACTTCTCCACCGTCTGGCTGTCGCGCGACAACACCAACGGCAAGCACGTCGCCCTCAAGGTCGTCCGCTCCGCCGCCCACTACACCGAGACGGCGCTGGACGAGATCAAGCTGCTCAAAAAGGTCGTCGACGCCAACAAGGACCACCCCGGCCGCGCCCACGTTGTCAGCCTGCTCGACTCGTTCAACCACAAGGGCCCCAACGGCGTCCATGTCTGCATGGTCTTTGAGGTCCTGGGCGAGAACCTGCTGGGCCTGATCAAGAGATGGAACCACCGCGGCATCCCCATGCCGCTGGTCAAGCAAATCACAAAGCAGGTGCTGCTGGGCCTCGACTACCTGCACCGCGAGTGCGGCATCATCCACACGGACCTCAAGCCCGAAAACGTCCTCATCGAGATTGGCGACGTGGAGCAGATTGTCAAGACGTGTGTAAAAGACGAGCCCGCCAAAAAGGGCACCGAAGACAGCGTGCGCAACGGCCGCCGGAGACGAAGGACGCTGATCACCGGAAGCCAGCCGCTCCCGAGTCCGCTCAACGCCAGCTTCAACCACGCCGAACTCTCCAGCTTCCCTGGCACCACACAGAGCCTCAACAAGGTCATGAGCGAGAGCACAGGTAAAGATTCCCCCACGACTGTTCCGAGTCCTCCTCCTTCATCAGACGGTGTCGTAATGAGTGGTGCTCTAGCAACCCCGTCGTCCACAACGAATCTGTCCATGGCAGAACGCCTCGGCATCAAGTCGTCCAACGAAGACGATGCACAGAAACAGCGAGAAAAGTCTGCGTACGTTGACTTACAACCCCCCCCCCTTTTTTGTTGTCGCCCTTTTTTTATATTGTGCTGACCCAGCCCGTACAGCGACCTGCTAACCAAGGAGGTATCGGGCATCAGCCTCGACAAGCCCACGGGCTCAGCCGACAAGGAGCAGCAAGGCGAAAACAACTTTGAAATAATATCCGTCAAGATTGCAGATTTGGGCAATGCCTGCTGGGTCGGACACCATTTTACCAACGACATTCAGACACGGCAATACCGGTCACCCGAAGTGATTCTGGGCAGCAAATGGGGCGCTAGTACGGATGTGTGGAGCATGGCAGCCATGGTATGCCGTGTCTTGCGGACCAGGTTGCGAGACAGGCGCTGACAAACAGCAGACTTTTGAGCTCATTACGGGCGACTACCTCTTTGACCCACAGAGTGGCACCAAATACGGCAAGGACGACGATCACATTGCGCAGATCATTGAACTTTTAGGGACGTTTCCCAAGGGCCTGTGCATGTCGGGCAAGTGGTCGCAGGAGATATTCAACCGCAAAGGCGAGCTCCGCAATATCCACCGGCTACGGCACTGGGCGCTTCCCGACGTGCTGCACGAAAAGTACCATTTTAGCAAGGAGGAGAGCAAAAAGATTGCCGACTTCCTGCTGCCCATGCTGGAGCTGCTGCCGGCAGACCGGGCCAACGCTGGCGGCATGGCGGGCCACGACTTCTTGAAGGATACAAAGGGAATGGAACATGTGAATTTGAATATTCCGGTGGGCAGCAAGGGCGAGGGCATAGAGGGCTGGGCGACCGAGGTCAAGAAGACAAGGTAGAGGGGGCACGAGCACAGGGTGAGCGGTTGCAACAGCTCCCTCCCCCCCCCAAAGTCGCTGATAGGCTACGAGCAATGAGGAAGAATGTACGAGCTTTCAGATGCTTTGACACGTTGTCGAGGTCGGCGGGCCATGGCAGGGCGAGGTGCACTTGAATCTCGCAGAAGCCGGCGGCATTTCGAGGTGGCGGATGCAATGCGACACTGACACTGGGGAGGGGGCGGGGGGCAGTCCATGTACCGCAGCACGTCACAGAGCCCCCCCAGACTGGCTGTCGTCTGGCGTCGGCCGTACCGAGCGTGCTTACGCGACAGAATACGGGGAGGGTGTTTTGGACGACACGGCGTGGGCGTGGTGTTTGGTGGTGGCGAGGGGCGTGCAACACGGGGGAGGGGCCTTTTCTTGTCTTGACATGTTGTCCTGCAGATAGAGCGTTTGTTACGATTCACGAAGCATGCACGTCATTTTATGTCCATTTCACAATGATTGCCTCGGGAGGCGCAAGAGGTTTAGGCGGCTAAACATAGCAGGCCGGTTAGCCGCACACGGGCAGCGTGGTGGAGCGCGCGCGTCGTCACAGGCCCACGCGGCCACGGCTTTACTGGCGACCCTTGCCGATGCGGACGTTCATGGGTGTCTGTGGGTATCCATAGGCGTCGTTGACCTGGGCATACGAGACGGTGCGCATGACGGCGCCGTCAATGATCCACTCGAGGCTGTCCTTTGTCCAGGAAATGGTGTAGTTGTGCGTGGCCGTCTGCGAGTTGCCCGAGGGGATCGAAGCGTTGGCTTGGCGGTCATATGTCTTTGTGTTGCCCTTGGAAAAGTAGTTTGTCTGGACATTTTCCGGCACGCCACCGAGAAACTCCCAGTCGACTTCGTCCAGGTCGTCGGATTGGAGAATGGCAGACGACACGATGCCGGTTCCAGGGGCCGACTTCATGATAAAGGAGACGGAGCCAAAGAACATGTACCACTTGGACTTGATGGTAGGGGCGTCGCCTGCCTTGGCAACGGTGAACTCGGCGCCATCCTTGGTGTAGTTGATGCTTCCTGCCGTGACTTTCCAGTTGTCGTCGTCGGCACCCTTGGTAAAGTCGTGGCTGTAGGTGGAGGTGCCAAGGGCGGGATCAGCCGGGCATGCTGGGAAGTGTCAGTGACTCGATACTGCTAGTCAGGCACATGGTGCAGATGCATGAGCATCCATCAAACGTACATTTCTTGGTGGGATCACAGTCAGTGTATGTCTGAGCAAAGACGGGGTACGTCAACAGCGGGACGACGAGCAGGGAGGCGGGAAACAACATTATAGCGAGTATATTGCGTCAAACAAGAGAGACGGGGAAGAAACAGGTTCAAACCAGGACAAGAAGAAAAAAAAACGAGGGTATATCGAGGGTGAATCGAGGGTATATGGAGTGTGGGATTAAGAGCAGGGCAGCCGCGCGGAAGAGATATATATCCCCAGTCCATGGACAGCAAAAAAGGTGTGGCAGTGTGCACGGGAGGGGGATTTACGACGACATTGGCTAGGGAGGGAAAATAGTACATACATGTTCGTATAGTCGGATATGGCGCCAGTGGTGGGCAGAGTACGAGGCGAAGGGGTCAGGGCCTGCCCCCTGGCAGTGCTACAGCGCCATCCCAGTGGAGCCTCGTGTGCCGTTTAGAAGGACGGTCTAGCCTTGCTTTGCTGTAACGGGCGGGGGGCGGGGGGTTGATAGGAGGGTGGTCGGGTGGCTGGTGTGGGTGTGGGTGTGCATTTCGGGTGCTTGTCAGTGCTGAGGAACACGTCTGGGCAGGCGGCGACCCCACAAACTCAAAGGGCACCATTGAATGGGCGGGCGGCGAGACAAACTACAAGAGCGGGCCCTACACCATGACGCTGCAGAAGATTGAAGTCATCAACGCTTCACCCGGCGGCTCGTACGAGTACGGCGACAAGAGCGGAAGCTGGCAGAGCATCAAGGTCAGCGACAAGAAGGTCCAGGACAAGTTTCCCGCTTCCCTTTCTGCTTCTGTGTCTGCTTCCGCCTCCGCTTCGCCTTCGTCGTCTGCATCTGCACACAAGAGCGGCACTCAATCCAGCCACTCGCCGCAAGCCACGGGCGCAGACAAGTCGGACTCCACCAAGGACGGTAACACCCACACGGATTCTAGCTCTGCTTCTCCCGTTGCCGCCGCCGCACAAGCTACCAGCTCTGCGTCTCCCTCGGCCAAGCCCGAGCAGTCCAACGACGCAGGTGTTGAAAGCGTCCAGTGGAAATTCACAGCTATCCTTGTTTCTCTCGCCGCCCTTGTCCTTGCTTAGCCTAGTCGCAGGTTCCTGTTTTTTTTCTTCTTCTCTTTTACTGTATATATTGCTTGGCCTTGTTTTGTGTTTTTTTTGGTTTTTGTTTAACATCCTAGACTATCTATCCCCCTGTGTGTGTGTGTGTGTCGAGCAAATCAAATCAAATCAAATCAAACTCATCTGTGCACTTCTCACTGAAACAATCCTTCCATGCACATGTTGAAACTTAGTCGTACTTGTTTGCTTTTTCCCGTCATGGTTGGGACTATGCGGGAAAAGAATCCTAGTACAGTATCGTCTGTCGACTTGACGTCTTTCCCACACATGTATGTATGTGTATGTGTATGTGTGTGTATGTGAGTGTATGTGAGTGTATGTAAGTGTCAAGTTGTCAAGTGTGAGATTAAGTTTGCCACGCCCACACACGGCGTAAGCACTGTATCTACATCCGTCCGCTTGTCCGTCCGTTCCCTACCATGGATAATCGATGACTGAAAATAAAGTTGCCAATAATATCACACCACCACCCACCACCTAGTATACATCATACGACTTGACTCGCAAACTTAGTCGCGAGTCTACTTAGGTCCAACGTAAGCATGCCAGGACTCGAGGGCACAATCACACATAATTTATCGCTTAATCATATTTGGTGTTGGGAGTGAGTTTTTTTTTTTTTCAAATTAACTAAGTATGCCTGAATATCTGGTATCTATCTATCTATCTATCCATACATGCATACATAGATAGATAGATACAAATGGGATAGAGAGTAGGATAGGTTAGGTAGGTAGATTGGGATATCATACACAGATAACGTTCGTTTGTAACACTAACTAAGTACCACATTACTTACCACCTGCAGTATGTATCTATCTACCTCGCTTTGTACCACAACCTCTGCCAAAACAGCCATACGCCCCAACTTGCCCTTGCCTTTGCCCTTGCCCTTGCCCTCGCTTTCGCCCTCGCCTTATTCCCTGCATCCTCATCCTCATCATCATCCTCATCATCATCCTTGCACAAGACTTGGAAAGAAGCGACTTTCTTGCCATGCACGTACCAAATCCCGCTCTTGGCATCATGGCCATCACCATTATTGTCGTCATTGCCATCACCACCACCACCACCACAGCTAGTCTCCTCGGGTCGCTCTGGGCCTGCATTTTCGAAAATGGCGGCGTCTTGGAAAACTGCGGCTCGCATCGTGGGTCCGAGTTCGTCGTCGTAGGGCGAGGTTGTACTAGTCGAAGTTGTACTGGTCGAGGCTGTACTGGTCGAGACTGTACTGGTCGAGCTACATGGCAATGGCGGCTGTGATGTAGTTTCTCTTGACGTGGTTGAGGCGAGGAAATCCTTCATTTCCACTTCAGACGGGATATCCGAGTGGCTGCTTCGCCAGGAACAGAGGCGTGTGGTGCTTTTTACGATTGAGCACGCTCGACACATGGTGGAGGTACGAGAAAGTTGACTTGACTTGGCTTGTATGTCGAATTATACCTGTGTAAATTTTGCCCTGTGAAATATTCTTGCCGCTTAAATTACATGCCCAGATCAGACGATTTATTTTCAAGCCAAGGGCAGCATTGCTTGGTATTCTCATACTGAAACCATGGTTGAGGCCGAATTCCTCATTACCACAGCAAGAACCTATCCAACAGAAACCAATTGCATCATTTTCCCGCCTTCATATTTTGGTGTACAAAAACATATGTACTTTTGACTGGCGAAACTTTGCCAAACAGTTGCATGCGCGTGGCACAAGGAAATAAGATGCCGATAGAAACGCCGGTACCGACCCAAGGATATACACAACGAATGAGGAAGACGCGAAACATTAAACACTATATTTAACGACCCGATCTGCTCTTCGTTTGAGATCGCCGTTCTCGGACGGTTTCTATTACATAGTTAGCGCTGGCTGTGATACTATTATCAAGACACTTACTCTCGTCGTAGACCAGGAACTCGTGCAGCGCACTACCTGCAGGTACCATGGGCAGAACAGGCACCTTTTGGTCAGTCACAATCTCCAAGAGCGCAGGTCCATCGGTCGCGAGGAGCCACTTGAGAGAATCCTCCAGGTCCTCGAGCTTGATGCAGCGCCTGGCATGAACACCCATGGCGTCACCGAGCTTGACAAAGTCGGCGTTGCGCTGGTGCGTGTGGGCGAAGCGGTCCGTATAGAAGAGAGTTTGCCATTGCGTGACCATACCCTGCTCCTCGTTGTTCAGAATAATCACCTTGACGCCAATGTTGAACTCTGCAGCAGTCGAGAGCTCAGTCAGAGTCATGCTAAAAGATGAGTCACCGTCAATGTCGATGACGGTGCATTCTGGCCGAGCGACCTTTGCTCCGATGGCGGCCGGAAGACCGTAACCCATGGTGCCGAGACCACCCGAGGTGATCATTGTGCGGGGGTATCGCCACCGGTAGTGCTGCGCGCACCACATTTGATGCTGGCCAACGCCAGTCGTGAGAATCGTCTCCTCCTTGCGGTCGGCCGTCAGGTCTGAAAGCTTCTCCATGATTGTCTGAGGCTTGATGAGGCCGTTCTCGCCCTCCTTCTCGTAGGCCCACGGGAAGCGCTTCTTCCAGACCGCAATCTGGCCCAGCCATTCGGGGCGGTCATCGACCTTGTTGACGAGGGGCAGGAGCTGCTTCAGGTTGACGCCAAGGTCGCCCTCGACGGCCTCGGTGGCCTGGACAACCTTGTTGATGTTCTTTGGCATAATCTCAAAGTGAATGATGCCTCCGCGACCCTCTGCTGCCGCAGCTTTGGCAGCGGGAGCGAACTTGGAAATGGCGCCCGTGATACGGTCGTCGAAGCGGGCGCCAAGAGCGATAATCAGATCGGCTTCCTGCATGGCCATGTTGGCGTAGGCGGAGCCGTGCATGCCCAGCATGTGCAGAGACTTGGGGTCGAGTTCATCGAAGCCTCCGAGACCCTGCAGAGTGGTCGTCACGGGGATGGTGGCCTTGTCGGCAAGTTCCTTGAGAAGCTTGTGGCCGTCCTCTGTCTGCAGAATGCCCTGGCCAGCGTAGATGACGGGCTTCTTGGCCTTGTTGATCAGGCTGGCAGAGCGCCTAATGGAGCTGTCCAACTGCTGCTTGGCGAGTTCTCGTGCGGCAATGGTGGCAGCACTGACGGTAGCGGGGAGGCTGCTACTCATGGGAATGGCTCTTTGGAGAACGCTGGCGGTAACATCCTTGGGCAGGTCAACCAGAACGGGTCCTGGGCGGCCGCTCGTGGCAATCTCAAAAGCCTCGTTGATGCGCCGGGGCAGCTCCGCAACGTTCTTGACGAGGACGTTCCACTTGGTGCAGGGCCTTGTGATGCCAACCATGTCGGCCTCCTGGAAGGCATCTGATCCAATTGCGCTGGTAACGACCTGGCCGCAGAAAACGACAAGGGGCGTTCCGTCCATGAGCGCATCCTGCATGGGTGTGACGACATTGGTGGCACCGGGGCCAGAGGTAACGAGCACAACACCGGGCTTGCCACTGGCGCGGGCGTAACCCTCGGCCATGTGGCCAGCGCCTTGTTCGTGTCGCGGAAGGATAAAGTCAAAGTGTTCTGACTGGTAGATGGCATCGAAGACGGGAAGAATGGCGCCGCCGGGGTAACCGACTGAAGCGAGTTAGTCTGTGTAAGATTTGGAGGTTAAAAAAATGTGACTGTACAAATGTGCTTGACGCCCTGGCGCAGCATCATCTCGTGGAAGATTTGGCCACCCGTCATGCCGACAAACGAGTGGTCCATTGCGGGCGAGCGGTACTGCTTCAAGGGCTGGACCTCGGTGTAGTCATGGCGATTGAAGGCGGGCGACGGTCTGGAGCGCGGTTGCGCCTGCGTGGCGGCGGCGGCGGTGCTCTGGGGGCGCTTGGCATCTTCGTGGGTGACTTTGGTCGCGAGCGTCTGGGCAGGGCGGCGGTAGGGCGAGATGGCGGGCGCGGGCGCGGTGGTGGAGAAGCAGCGGGAGCCCTTGAGAGCGCTGATGGCTCGCGTGCGTGACTGTTGCATGGCGAAGGCGGGGGCACGCGGCGGGGAAAAGAATGGGCGGGAAAAGCAAGGCGGCGTGGACGAGGAGAAGAAGAAACGCGGCCGGGGGCGGTTTTGAGTCAATGGCCAAGGGCAGGTGCAAGCGTCGTGACGGCCCAAAGCGAACAGAGTCAAACTGGCATGTTCGTGGCGCATCTGAAAAGTCGGTGGGGTGCAATTGGCCCGCCTGGCCGAACATCGGAGCGGCGTCAGCGCTAGCCTTGGCGCTCCGAAGCGCTCGCTGCCGCTGCATTGCTGCACTGCTGCACTGCGACTCTGCTACATTGGCACGTTGCTGCTAGCCTGGCCCCTCCACCAGGCGTCGACGTATATTGCCGCTGTTCGCGACATGCAGGCCCCGTCGCGACGAGGCCACGGCCGTGCTGCGTCTGGTGAGGAGCGCCGGCGAAGTATGCCTCCTCCCCACCGCTCTCTCTCTCTCACACACACGCTCTATACAGGCAGCTAACAAGCAGCTAACTCGCACCAGCTGCCCTCCTCCGCCGCTCCACAAAGGGCCCGCTCGATGCCGACGACACCATTGTTGACGAGTATGCGACCCCGCCCTGACGGCCGCCGTCCATGACTGCCTAGCTCACACGGCCGCGCAGCCCTCTTGCCGAAAGCACTGCCAGCCTGCCCTCGCGCGTCCGTTCGCCAGCCCGCCCCGAGGCTTCCCCGCATCCTCCGCATCCGCACAATGCCCCCGGCCGCGCCATTGACGACATGCCCTCCAAGGACTTCAGCTTCATGCAGGATCCCCAGGCCTACCACGTCCTGCCCGTCACAAATGTCCCGCACCCCTTTGCCAACGCCCCCCACGCACCGCCCGTCTCGTCTCCCATCGACACGCTGCTCTTCTCGGGCCACTATCGCCTCGCTGCCATCGCCGCCGCCCGCAACCTGGTTTCCGCCGCCCCGGGCGACCACGATACCCTCTTCCACCTGGTCCATGTGCGCCTCGCATGTCTCTGCCTGCTGCAGGAGCACGCCCTTGCCGCCCAAGAGTCCAAGGTCCTCGGTGACCTGGGCAGCGCCTTTTACCGACACCCCCTCACAAACGCCCATTTGGTTCCCTGGGAACTGCGGCTGCTGGTAGTCCGTCTGGCTGCCCTGGGCTATGGCGAATGGCGCAAGGGCATCATGGCGTACTATGAGCTTGCGCGCGAGTGCAGAGAGAATATCATCAGAGGCCCTGAGCAGGACAAGCAGCTGTGGCGGGCCCGGCTGCGCGACTGCGGCATCCGCGTTGCCAATGTCCTGGTGGAGATGGGCGACCTCGAGGGCGCGGGCCGGCATTTGGGCACGCTTGCGGCCGACGGCGATGACTCGAGAAAAATCATTATTATGGAGACGCTGGTCTGGCTGCGTATAGGCGATGTGCAATCGGCACGTCGCTGTTTGGCGCGGGCGTCGGAAACTTCGCCCGATGACCTGATCGACGGCACTCTCAATGCCCTCATTCAGCTCGCCAACTCCGACTACCAAGCTGCCGTCGCGTCCTTCCAGGCTCTCCACGAGCAGTTTCCGGAAGACGCCATGGTGGCTCAAAACCTAGCCGTGTGTCTGCTGTACACTGGACGCATTTCGGATGCAAGGACGATTCTGAGTGACTTGGTGGACAACAGCCCGCCATTCCATTCTCTCGTCCTCAACCTGAGCACGGTGTTTGAGCTCTGTACGGAGAGAAACCGAGACAAGAAGCTCGCACTGGCTGAAAAGCTTGCCAGTAGAAAAGAAGGCGCTGGAGGTGTTGGCTGGGAGCTCACCAATGCCGAGTTCAAGTTGTAGTTTAGCAATGAATTAGATACCCTCGGTGAATCAAGGCACTTGCTCTGCTGGCCTCTGCAGGTCCAGAATGTCTGCCAACCTTACCTTGCCTTTGCCTCCCCAGCCTGCCGCTCCTTGAGCCACGTCGGGACGAACACGGACGTACCATGCCCAAGCCCGTTTGTCGACATCATCCTTGCTGAGTATCTGCGCCCACGACTGGAAAAGAAGCTCCAGTGCGCCCAGCAGTAACCCGAGATTGCGTTGCTTTTGGGCTGCTAGGACAGCCGGCTTTTTTGCGTGTTTGATGTCTTGCTCAACCTCATCCTCTGGCGTGTCAAATGCCTTGAGCAGATATGCCCTGGCGCTCTGTGCAGTGTAGATGGGCATATTGTTTTGTCCTCTGGAGAGCCCCGATGCACCAGGCTGATTCGCCTTTTTGAGCGCTTCGAGGTCCACGCCCCACAGCGCAGGTGCCTTTGCCTTTTCATCCACCACTGTATCAGGCGAAGACGCGGGCGTCTGGACAGTCTCTTCTTCCCATTCGTAGCCCCACCGCTTCATAACCCGCACGTCGCGTGTCATGATACGAACAAGCGGTTGCCCCTCACCCCACCCTTGTTCCTCTGCAGGCTGCCCTTTATCCAGCCCAATATGAACCGCCTTGGCCTTGCTGTTCATCGATGTGACGGCCTGCGCTAGGCTCAGCCTGCTGGACACGGGCTGTTCAGGCATCGTGTATTTGATGAGCGTGACGGCGAAAGCAAGGACGAGAGGGGCGCGGTTGGTATAGAGCACAGTCGCCCTCAGCACCTTTTCGTCCATGTCTGGTTCCGGCAGTGCAAGCGAGGCTTCGAGCTGTGCGCCGTTGAGTGGCTGGCCATGTATCGGCCTCGTCTTCTTTGCTGGTAGCGGCGCGGCCTCGTCGTCTGCGCCGCGTTTCTTGGACACTCGCTTTGCGGCGTTGAGACATTGTCGCGCGGCTTTTTCGTCGCCAAAGATTTGCTCGAGTGTTTCAAAGTCGGCCTTTGCCAGATCCAGGGCCCTGCGCGCGTCAGTGGGCACGCTGGAACGCGGTGGAACGCTATCACGTGCTTACGTGTTGAGCTTGGCCGCTTGGAGAGGCTTGATTTTGCCCATGGCCTGCGCTAGGGGTACCTTGGCGTCCTGAGTCAGGAAGCGCAGGAGGGCGTTGACATGCTGCGGTAGCGACATGCTGCGTAACTGATGGTTGTCTGTATTGTCGGTCTCGATGGCATGCTTGATGGCATGACGTTGCGGGCGGCCATGTGGGCACCCGGCGAGACGCGCTAGTGTCGAGGCTTGACTGACCTGCCGCAAGCTCGACTCCGACCTCACCACGCTGCCCAGACATGGCGTTCAAATTCTCGCTCGGGGCCGCAAAGGCCAACAAGGCGCAACTGAATTCCAAGGCAAAGGAAGACGAGGAGGCAAAGGCGCGCGAAGAGAAGCATGCCCTCGACAAGGTCATGGCGGATTTGGAGGCCGAGCACGGCGCAGAGAAGAGCGTACTGGGCGAGCTGGAGCGCGACCACGACGCCGAGCATGTCTTTGTTCCCACGGGAAGCAAGCGGCATTTCACAGGGAGACAGAGAACCATGAAGAGCGGCCCCGGCACACTCGACGCTGAGCCTCTGGATGGCTACCCAAGGCCTGGCGGAGTTCCAGGACGGCCCCCGCCACAGGTGCCATCGCGATTTGGAGGGCCAGCGCCCGCAGGACCTGCTGCGCTCGCTGGTCCCAAGTCGACTGAGAATGTGTTTACGACGGTCGTAGCGAAAGCATCCAACCTGCCGCCTGCAATCGATCCGCGCCGAGTGGAGGAACTGTTCGCCGATTTTCCCTCGTTGAAGATTACACGGGTCGAGAAGATACCGCCGCAGGGCCCCTCGCCCAAGGGCCGGCCGTCGGCGACAATGAAGGTTATGTTCGACAAGGATGCAAGCGCGCGGGACCTCGATGATGCCATGAACAAGCTCAACGACAAAAAGTACCTGGGCAAGGGCTACTATCTACACTTGGACAGGTATCTTGGCGGTCGCTCGGTCGACACGGCGCAGCGCACAGAGCCGTTTGGCGCACGATGGCAGGCACCGGAAATACCCAAGGGCTTTGCACCGCCCCCGGACTTGGGCGGCGGTGGCAGAGACAGGCCTCGCGAAGACACGGAGCAGCTCATTGTCACGGCAAACCAGCCGCCAGACATTGCAACGCTCAGGCTGGTGCACCAGACGATAGAAGGCGTCATACTGGGCGGTGTGGAGTTTGAGGCGGCGCTGATGAATGACCCGCAAGTACAGGACGAGGAGCGCTTTGCCTGGCTCTACGATCAAAAGCACCCTGTCAACCGCTACTATCGCTGGCGCTTGCACCAGATTGTATGCGACAGTCCGAATCCGGAGATTTTTGAGCGCCACGGCGACTGGCGTGGCCCTGTTGATCCGCTCGCCGACGAGTTTGCGGACCACTTGGGGGCTTTTGATTCCGACGACGACATGATGGACAGCGACGACGAGGACGAAAAGGAGAAGCCGCAGTACAAGCCGCTGCCTGTCGGCGACAATTACCCGGGACGAGTTGACAATGGCCACGGCATCATGAGTCCGCGGTCAAGAGCCATGCTGCTCTGGCTGCTCACATCACTTCCGCCTGGCAGCATCGTCGCCGATGACATTGCGGCAATTTCGAATTTTGCAGTCGAGCACGCTGGGCAGGGCATGGACGAGGTGGTGCACATCCTCGTGTCCAACATGATCCGGCCTTTTCAGCTAACAGACACGAATCCGAGATACAAGCCAGCGGATGCAGACTCCAAAGACGACCTCAGGCGGCCGGACACGCGGCAAGTGACGCTCAATGCTTTGCGCATCATTTCAGACGTTCTCCTCGTCACTGCCAAGGAGTCTGGGGTGTCGTACAAATACCGCCTCGCCATTGCTACCGAGCTAGTGGAGCGCAAGGTCTTGCAGCACCTCGAGCAGCTCCCTGCGCAGCTCGAGATGGGCCGCATGACGGAGCGAAGCTACCGGGACGAGGTCAATGTCATTCTCAAGGTGTGGCAGGACGAGCACTTGTTTGACGAGCCCACTCTCAACCACCTCGACGAGGCTTTTAATGCGCGCGAGCGGCAAAAGGAGGAGGAGGAGCAGGCCCGGCGGCTGGCCGAGAGGAGGAGGCGCAAGGGCAACGTGGTCCGCAAAGCAGTCAGTAGTGGGGGCGACGACGAGGACGAGGAGATGCAGGTGGATGGCGAGGCGCGGGGTCACGTGGAGGGCGCAGCGGACCAGACGGCGGGCGTGGGAGCAGAGGGCGCTGTGGCTGAGGAGAGGGAGGGCGCAGAAGAAGCAGCAGCATGCAAGCGGCAGAGTGAAGGCGAGGTGGTTCCGGGGGAGACGGCCGTGGCCAGGGCGCGGCGGCTGCGGCCGCGGGCAGAGGACATGTTTGCGCTGGACGAGGACGAGTAGGCGGAGCAGCGGGATACCCTGAATGAGCATGTTGGCGTGTACATGTATGCAGCAAGTGCAGTATCTGGCTGGCCGTGGTCTGCGAACAGGCGTTGCTCGCGGCGTGGTCGGGCGAAGAAGCAAGCATGCGGCTAGCCACTCGGCCAGCCCCACGCCAATCGCCCCAGCAGCAGCAGCGGCGGCGGCAGCCCGTCTGTAGCAGAGGCGCAGACAGGCTGGTGGCGGCGACAATGGTGTTCAAAGAAAGGGCAGGGCATGTCGCAGGTCGCAGGCCGCATCTCGCATCGCGCATCTCGCAGGCAGGGCGTCAGGTGCCGTCGTGATTGGCTCGTGACGGGGGGGCGTGGATCCCCCCCCAACACTGGCCTGGCCTGGCAATGTGTGGAAGCTCTCCGCCTAAACCAACAACACAGACACTTGGAGTTGCTACCTCACACCGCCTCGCGGCCCTTTTCGCCCTACTTACTCGCGTAGGCGCCCCTCCGGCAGCGGCTCTCTTCGCAGGGATATTTTCTCCCTCCCTCCACCCTCTGCCCTCTGCCAAGCCCAGGCCTCTTCCGCTCCCCCATCGCCGCAGCTTCACCGTCTCGCCCTCGACGCCCACGCCACGATGCCGACCTTCCTGGGCCTGGCCGTCTCGATCCACGCAGACTCGAACCCACTGCCCGAGTACTCGATCCAGAAGCAGTCCAAGCACCACCGCATCACCTCGTACATCCCCGTCCCGCCTGCAAAGATACCCCCGGGCGCTACCAAGCCCGAACAGTCGTCGTTTGCCATTTCCATAACCCTGCTCACCCCAGGCCTCCACGTCCCGTACTCGACCCCCAAGCCCACGCCCGATGAGCCCAACCCCAAGCCCAAGGTCGTCGGCGGCCTGCCCGGCCAGCCAGGCGAGCGGGGCAAGCACACGTCGGCCATTGCCCCGTACAAGCCCCTCACCACCTCGCCCAACGAGACAATCGCCGCCTACATTTACTTTGACGGCCGCGCCAAGGAGGAGGTAGCGACGCTGCTGCGCCGCGGCGAGGAGACGTGGGTCAACTCGCGCTGGGTGAGCGTCCCCGAGTCGGAAGGTGGGGGGCTCGCCGAGCGCGAGTTTCTGTTCCGCGAGGTTGGCCTCGAGCGCTGGCTCAATGGCCTGGATCTCGAGGGCAAGGACAAGGACGTGGCGGCCAAGATTGAGCGGAGAAAGCAGCGCCTCGAGAAGAAGCGGGCGAAGCGGAGAGAGGCCATGAACAGCAGCGATGACGAGGACAAGAAGCCGTCGCGCAACGGCGTGCTGCGCTATAGCGAGAGCCAGGACGCGCCCGTCGAGACGCTTTCTGGAAACGACGACTTTTTCACCACCGACTCGGATTCCGAGGACGAGCCCCCGATACCCGAGGCCGCCGGCCAGATCAAGGTGGCCCTGTTCCGCGTCCTGGCCTCGGGCGAGATCAAGCGCGGCGAGTACTCGCCCCAGTTTGACGCACACGACGACGACGAGGCAAACGGCGGCGAGGGCGACGACATCGACCACACGACAAGCTTTGCAAAACCAAAGACGCTCGACCCCAAGTCCATCAGCACCCAGACGGTCACTGGCATAGATCCCCCGGATAAGCCCTATGCCGTCTTTACCTTCCTGTACCGTGGAGAACGTAAGTGGAAACTAATCAGTCGACTTCGCAGCTAACCAAGCAGGCCAATTGCGCAAGATGGGAATCCTCACCAGCAAGGAGCCGGCCAAGGTCACCTCGCCCGCCGCCAAGCGAAAATCGGGCACACTGGACTTGAGCAGCCTCAAGCCCCTGAATGCCGGTATGGGAACAAAAAACTTTGGCGGCTACCGGGAAACATCGCCCAAGTCCAAGCAAAAGAACCATGACGCCATGGACAGCGATGCGGATGAAGAGGATGATGTAAAAATCGACGACGTCGATGACGACAAGGATATTCTGGACAAGGCTCTGTTATCTCCAGAGGATGCTCTGAAGCAGGGCGAGCTTGCAGAGGGCGTTCGGAAGATCAAGGTACGTAGTCGATCATGGATGAATGGATGAATATACTGACCCTTTAGCTCAAACGCCAACATTCAGCCGAGCCCGTAGGCCGCCCCGTCGGTCCTTCAGTGTCGGATGCCTCTGGATCTCCCCTATCTGGCACACCAGCGCCCGACGCTTGCTCGACAAACGACGGTCCGTCGTCGGCCCCCGCAAACCCGTCGACGGAACCTAGCTCTTCAAGTTCGGTTGCCTCGCCCTTTAAGAAGCAACGCGCCTCCCTGCCCGGATTCGACGAGACGGTCCGCAAGAGTCTGGGCCAAGCGCTCATGGGCGCCTCAAAGGAACGGGGCAACTCGGAGAGCAATATTCCCACGATCGAGACCAAGATGGAAGAAGACGAAGAGTTGTAAAGGGAACCAAATGTTCCACGCGCAACGAGCTCACTTGTTATCATATTTGTCCTGACTATTGCGTTTTACAGTGACGTTGCAGCCAGCAGCGTCACACCCCAGACGATACCATGCGGCGCAACAAGCGGCATCTCAAGGCGCATTTGGACGGACCCGAAAACTAAAGTGGGACTTGATTACCAGTCATTGGTTTTGGGCTGCGGGCAAACTTGTACATGATTCACGTTTCTTATGTTTGACGCCTCGGCAACACAAAGCAAGAGTGATGGTAGATGATTATGATGGACGGTTTTGGTAGTCTGTCATGCACACAGTGATGACTTGGATGAATTATCATGCATGTAGCTTAGAGGGGGGATAGAGCGGTTGGCGGTCTAGGCCTGCTCGGTCGCCAACTGGCGATGTCTGAGAGGCTACTGATTGTGTCTACGATGCTCGTCTCGCCGTCTTTTCCTTTGACGTGGACACGCGTGATGCCTTGGTTGGATGGTGCTTCTGGAGTCCTTGACAGCAATAGTGCGCCCCATCCTGCATCCCGAGCCCCAAAATAATCCTTTTCCACCTCGTCGCCCACGTAGAGCTTTTCGAACTCCTCCAAGCCCGCATCCACCATCTCCCCAAGCATATCCTCTGCCGCGCGAAACATGCCCGAATGCGGCTTCTCAACCCCAACATCATATGACAGGACGACAAAGCTTATGTCGTCATGTGAACTAGCTTCCTTGTCTCTGTTGTCTTTTGTACCGACTCTTCTGGGCCCGATGCTGAGACCAAGGGATTCTAGGATTCCTGGTACACGATCATCCGAGTTGGTCACAATACCCACGACGGTGTTATGCCACGGCCAGTCGTCGGTTTCTCGTATCCGCTGTTGTTTCAGAGCCCGCAGTGTGCTGAAGAATGGAGTTACATCTGGAAATAGCGTGTATCCTCTACTCGAAGAATAAATGTCGAGCAACTCTGTTGTAAGTGCATGAGGAAACGGCTGGTCTTTTCGCAGAAACGGAGTAAAGGTGGCGTGGATGATGTTGGCCCACCATTTTTCGGATCCGAGACCGCTCGACTTGCCGTAGTTGGGATTTCTCTGCGATTCCTGCTTAAAGGCCAATTTGAAGCTTGTGCCTACGTCCTGCGTGTTGCCAATGCGAATCCCGTGATGGGCGGCGGCTCGCGCGTAGGCAATGGGAATGGGGATGCTGGGGGCGAAGAGGGTTCCAAAGGCATCGAAGCAGAGGAGGAGGTCTCTTCCATTTGGTGGCATTTTCTGTGACTGAATGATTTAATTCATGACCTGACGAGACGTGATAAGTTTGTTGGTATGCACGTGTAGTCGTGTGGTTGCGGGACGTACCAAACGGGTTAGGTCAGGGTCCTCCTGGGAATGCGGACACGATCACCTCCCCTCAACCTCCACGTCCACTCCACTGCAGTCGCTCGTTGACCAATTCGCAGCACAACTCCTCAAATGGCTCCCGAACAGTCCAAGAACAAGTACTCTGTACTTTTGCCCACCTACAACGAGCGCCGTAACCTTCCTATAATAACATGGCTGCTCAACAAGACATTTACAGAAAAGTACGTCGCAACAACACTCAATGCTTGCTGTACTAACAATTACAGCAACCTCGACTGGGAGCTCATTATTGTCGATGACGGCTCTCCCGACGGTACCCAAGAAGTCGCCGCCCAGCTGCAGAAAGTCTACACTCCCGAGCGCATCCAGATCCGAGCGCGCGCTGGTAAACTCGGTCTCGGCACCGCCTACGTTCACGGCCTGCAATTCGCGACGGGCAACTTTGTCATCATCATGGACGCGGATTTCTCGCACCACCCCAAGTTCATCGCGCCCATGATTGCGCTGCAAAAGACCAAGAACTACGATATTGTCACGGGTACACGGTATGCGGGCAACGGAGGCGTCTATGGATGGGATCTCAAGCGCAAGTTTGTCAGCAGAGGCGCCAATCTCTTTGCCGACACTGTCCTGAGGCCAGGTGTGAGCGACCTGACGGGCTCGTTCCGCCTGTACAAGAAGGAGATTTTGCAAAAGGTCATTCGCAGTACCGAGAGCAAGGGATATACCTTTCAGATGGAGATGATGGTGCGTGCAAAGGCTATGGGATGTACGGTTGGCGAGGTTCCTATTTCCTTTGTTGACCGTCTGTATGGTGAGAGCAAGCTTGGTGGCGATGAGATTGTCGAGTATGCCAAGGGTGTGTTTTCATTGTGGATGAAGGTCTAGTCTGGATTATGGACGGTTGCATGGCGTTGGCGCATCGGCACGGGACATGTCAAGATATCCTGGACTGGGGTGAGATGCTAACTTGATCTTGACTTTTTTTACATATCCAGAATATCTATTTAACTGATAATCTTCTGTCATTGTCTCATTCTAGAGCTACGCTTGAGACTTGACGTGTTGAGAATGCATCCATGTTTAACCATTTGTGGTGTATGAATTGTTATTGTTTCCGTGGCTCAATCTTCTGTTCATCTCGATATCATATTCAATGTGAAATGCCAAGATATCTCGCTGCTTCTCTTGACGAGGCTGGAAGAATAGAAAATAGAATGCATGGGATAAGCTTGAGTTGAATGTATATGTACTTTCTAGATATAAAAACGTAGTTACTAATTCAACTCATCATCTGTGTACTTGAGCGTATTTGAGAAATACAGAGATGCTCATGTACAGAGAGGTATACTACTACCATGTACTTGTTCCAACTTCAAAGCGTGATTTGCACGTGATGATTGTGTAGTGAAGAAATGCACGTCGCGAAGTGAGTGTCCCGCGAGATGAAGATACATGGGTCAATTCAATTACTATAGTATGCGTAAAACTGTGAAAAGACTGCTTGTGCAGAGTACTTTGATCTTTGTTTTTTTCTTCTTCTTCTTAGAAGAGTTGAATTGGATGCAGGTAGATAGCTCTCGATGAGTTGTACATAGTGCGGTATTAAGATGGTGTAATTAGCTGGGAAAAAAAAAAGAAAAAGAGAAAGATGCAAAATTACCTCTAGCAAGACTAAGTAGAGATATTAATATTTTACTTACATACATACATGGCATTATTCTGTATTATGCAGGGGGCACGGCGTATTGTATAACATACATGTACGCATGGGATTTGCGTGCGAGGAGAGAAGAGAAGAGAAGAGGAGAGAGGTGTGAAGGGTGTAGAATTCAATAATATTTTTTTTCCAACTTTACTTGTATGGAAAGTGGATTGGGGAATAGAATATATATATATAGTGGTTGGGAAATAAAATAGACGACGGGATTGTTGGATGGGATGATAGTGGGAGATGTACATCACCCTCCCACAGTAAGTACAATCACAAATGTCGGGAGTATTTTTTTTTGCCCAAGTATTGTATGTAATGTTACTAGGCGAATGTATTTTTTTCATTCCCAAAGACATGAGAAGAGTCAAGTATGAAGAGTCAAGTATTTGGAACCAAACTCATAGTAACATCACCGACTACTTGGATCACAATATACACAACAGTCGTATTTACAAGCACGCACGTGAATTTGAAGGGAAAAAGAAACATGTCTTGTGAGCTAATACTATCCATCTTTCCAGACCATTCGAGTAGAAGCACCAGGGGCAACAAGAGCAATACGAGTGAGTCAGTAGTAAACCCTGAAATCAATATAATACAGCGTGCCAACAGTACCTAGGCCATGCAATTCTGTATACAAAACTCTTCTCCATCCGTCCAACTCACCACTAACGAAGAGATTATTTCCCTGCCCTCCTCTTCGTCCCGTCATAATCCAAAATGCCCCTTTTACGATGATTCTGCGCGGTTTTCCACCGGACGTAGAGCATAATGGCGTCCTTGAGTCCGACAAACATGCATCCGCCGACGATGCTTCGGCCCCAGCGTGTTTGTAAGAAGCCAGTTGGCTTGCCGACGCCTCCGACTCTGCCGCTGTTTTTGACCAGGCCTCCAAGCCAGGATGCAGGGGGAGCGCCGGTGGGGGAATGGACCCAGGAGGAAGGGAGGGTGTGTTTGAGAAGTTCACCGATTGCCGCGGCAATGGTCGGGAAGAGGAGAGCGCCGAGAATGGTGTCTGCGAGCGATGTGGTGGAAAAGGTGACGCCGCGTTCGCGTCGTACGCGTCGGGGTCGCTGGGCGGCGGGTTGCATGGGCACGTTTGGAGCGGGTGCGGGATTTGCCTGGGGCCCGACTTCAACCAGTTCGGGAATGTCGGCGTCGTCGTCTGCGTCTTGTGGTGCAGGGCGCGCTTCGTTGTCTGCATCACCGCCATCGTTCCAGTCGGCAAAGATGTCAAAGTCCAGCTCAATCTCCACCTCCTCCACTACGTCTGCATTGTCCTGATCGTGTGCATGCTCGTGCTCGCCCTCTACTTGCCCGTCGGCATCTGCGTCCTCACCTGCTCGAGGCTGTATCTCCTTGAGCCACTGCTGCTCTCGCGGCAGCCACACGCGTTCATAGTATGCATTGTAAACGCCGCGGATATATGGCAGTGCGGCAAAGGAAAAGGCGGCGCTTGGGGGCCACTGCAGCTGCATCAGCTCATCGCCTGGCTGGCCTGAGCTGACGAAGAAGATGAGCGGAAGAAAGGGCAGAAACGAGTCGGCAAAGGTGGTTCTGCTCGCAACAAGCACCGTGGGTATCAGAGGGAGCCCCAGATCCAACCTCCAGTGTCGTCGCAGATGCTCGAGCCACTGCATCATTACTGAGTTGACTCTTCGGTCTGGCGGCTGGTATAGCGGGCCGAGAATCTGCAACGCATCCTCCGTGCCGAATATCTGGTATATTGTCGCAGTCCCTGATAGCGACAGAGTCGAGTATAGCACCGTGCCCGTCACCAGAGCGAACCCAGGCAGCAACAGAGTTCCCGCCAGGCGCTCGACGCCCCTCACGGCATCCACGACATAGCTGCGCGGCCGCTGCACCTTGATCTCGCTCTTGCACTGTGGACATAGTATCTTTCCCGCCGACGTGCCGGCCCGCCGCCGCGAGTTTGGCGCCTCCATGTCTGCTATCCAGTCGAGTAGACACTGTTCGTGCGCCACCAGCGAGCACGCACACGGGTTGCGCCATTCTGAACTTGTCTCGTCGTCTTCTGTCTCGTCGTTGAAACAAATCCAGCACTTGCGGGGTTCATCGTCTTCTTGCGGTGCGGAATGTTGGGCGGGAGCCTCTCGCTCTTCCTGCTGCTCCAGAGACGCGTGTGACGACCGAGAGTTGAGCAAGAGTGTTTGCGAGTCTACCGATTGACCCGACAGGCTGCGTGTTGGGCCTTGCTCTGGGTGGGAGTGAGATGGCTCGGCCGGAGACGAGCGTCGGCGTTGCGACGCGGGGCGCGGCGGTAGAGACGCCATGTCGCGTGACGGCAATCAACAGTCTAGACTGTCTCGTGTCTGGAATCCGAGAGCGAGGGCGAAGGTCAAGATGCACGAATCATGAGGAAAGAGTATTTGTGGATTGCTGTTGGCGTTGGTCGTGTTTGTTACTCAAGCTAAAGTACCGAGGACAGACCGACACACACAACACACCAACGTCAAGTTTTCTAGAATAGGTGTAATTTTTGTTAAATATATACAAATCCCTTACAAGAAACTAATTACAGCAAGTTTTAAGACGTGCAGCGTGCGCGCTGTGGAGCTATAAGCTATAAGAGCAGATAGTTAAGACACGTCTCACACTCAAAACAAAAACACACAGACCACTCTGCTTAGTAATAAGAGAACCCCAGCAACAGAATGCCACTAGAAAGCGATACTATCGAAGCCCAAGTGCTAGAACAGAGGCAAGAGAGCCTAGGCCCAGAGGCTCAGATCGACAGGGAAATGG